TGCAAAAGCAGATACTGGCGTTTGGGCTGCGCCTCGATCTCTTGAAGTATGAAAGGCAAGTATTCAGGAAGGTTTCCAATTGCGATATTTCCCAGTGTATAACTGGCCGCGGATTTTACTTCTTCCGAATGAGACGAGAATGAATTTATAATGGTGTGTTTCAGCGAATTAATTCCACTCAGATCTCTGTATAGAAATATTATTTTAAAGATAAACGTCTTCAATAATGGTAAGACATTTGTATTAAGAAGAGTTATATGATTCTCTTACACATGTCTTCCTATCTCTCCAATGACCAACAAGGCGAATATGTGTTGAGCGACGTTCTGAATGTCTGACGGATTCTGAACATCCTTTAGCAACTGTTGCACAATACACTGCGCTTCTTCGTGCCATGTGATTGTCAGCGCGGCTGCACACTTGGCCAGTGAGTGATAAGCCTGCTTGTGAAGTACGCATTGAGTAACTGGAACTATTAACATCGCGAGAAGATCTCTGTACCCGAGACCCGGCAAATTCGCTTGCACTAAAGCTTGGAAAAACTCGAGCATTGAATTTAATGCGACACCTATTCCGACAAAAAATCAATGTATTGAATACACATATTAAAACATTATTAATTCAATGTTGTGTAATAGTTTTACCTTGAAGAAGTGGCGACTTTACAAGAATGAGTATCTCGGGCAAGATATGGTCAGACACTCTAGTCAGAGCAGCTGGATGTAACTTTGCAATGGTAGTGAGAAGATTCAATGTCAGCTGCGCAATGTGTAGGTCTGACTCATTTAATAATGCAGGTAACTCTGTAGTAACCTGTGTGAAAAGGATTAAAAATGATTATCTTATGTTTCATTAAATATTAATATATATATAGCACAACTAATACTCCATTACCTTATCAAGTAAGTCCGGATGTAGAGCTGAGCTATAATTGCGTACCAGTGTATCTAGAAGAGGGAGAGAGGAAAGTTTTAAAGCTCGTTGATTCTTTCTTAAAAAGGACCCAAGAATAGGTATTGCTTCTTCCTACGAAAAACAATAAGATTTTGTAGAAGAAAAATTTTGCTATTTTTCATAATGCGTGTATATATACACTTGTATTTGATAAATTTACCATGATTGGTTTAAGATCGACTCTCAGAGGAGACGCGGCTATACAAGTTAGAGCCTTAACAGTGGTAAGCCTAGTTATCTCGTTGCGCAACCTGTCAAGGAAAATAGGTAGGCATACATGCAATTTGTCTGACAGAGTGTCTCCAAAGTGCGCAAGGATCTGTCCCATACAAGCGATGGCTCTCTCCTTCACTTCCTGATCGATATCGGCCGTTTTGAGCCTCATCAGAGTGCAGTGATATATTTCGTTAGATAACGGAGTGAAGTTGCGGGAGAAGGGTTTATCTGAGATAAGCGTTAAAATCTCGGTTATCGATATCACTTTATTCTATCTACATTATTGCAAATCAAATAAAATCATTTACTCACCATGAGGTCTGATAACTTGTACGAGTTGTTGCAACACTAGCAATGCTTCGGCAGCGATCTTGTAGAAGGAATCTCCTACAGCTAGTATGATTGGAGGCGCCAGAACTGGCATATGAACGTGGAACGCTTCGGGCTGATGCGTCACCAAGAGCGTATGCACAAAAGCTAAAGTGTCGATCTTCATATTCGAGGACGAGTTTTTGTCACCCAGGGAATATTGTATGCCGGGAATCAGTGCTGGGATATGATTAGTTAAAGCGCCAGGTAAAACAAGCACCAGTTCCTTTAGCAGGGAAAAGCAATCTTGTCTTGTTTTAATGCTTTTTTCTTTCATTTGACGATGAACTGCCTTTACTATTAATGGTACTTGCTGTTGCAACAACGCAATAGGTCCGTCATCGTCTTCCATTGCGTCTGGATCGAGAGGCACACCGGTAGCTGGCCTCGTTTGTCTCAACAAAGCAATATATGCATGAAATATATCTGATTTGACATTTTCTTCTCTCTCTGCAATTATAAAAGTAAATATCACACATAATAATCATACACATTGGATAAATAAAATTTTGAGATTAAAATGTTATATAGATAAATTTCAATGGTTGATACTTGCCTTTGAACCTAGTGATCAATGCAGGTGAAACTACTTTATAAAGATCTGATAGCAACTCTCTTCTACTAGATACAACCGCTTCTAGACATTTTGCGGCTGCGCGACGAACTTTCCAACTCATATCGTCGTCATCGGAATATTCATCTTCCGCGTCTTCTTCTCCATCCTCTTCTATTTCCATTGCAGTACCTTCTCCGTCAGAAAGATCGTTGATATCATCGTCATAATTGTAATTTGGATCGTACGTGATATATATTAGGCAGATCTCTATAATCTAAAAGATAAATTATTTCATTTAATAATGTATAAGAGACACATGAATATAATGTCGTAACATAAGATTAATCTGAATTTACTTACTTTATTTATATGCGGAGTAATCTCTTTCGGACACCTATAAACAAAAGATTCAAATGCTTGTAAACAATATTCTCTCAATTCATCGTCATCCTCATTACTATATTGAACAATCAATGGCATAACACGTTCTATCTGTTCGCCGAATCTGTGTCCTGCTTGTCGACTGCAAATAAATTTAGAAATTAATTACAGATGCTAATTTATTCTCTTCACTGATTATTCGAGCACAATGTAGATTATCTTACCAAATAGAAGCAATGCATTGGATATAGGTACGTATAACGTTCTTTGCTGTTTGAGTTTGAAGACCATCGAGAAGATGATCCAACAATTTGTTGTATAAATAATTGTTGCTGGACGTCAACAAATGACTCAGCGCTACTATAGTGCGTTTACGAACCGCTTGCCGCGGCGAAGAGAGTTGCGGCAATAATGCGGCCAGAATTGTAGAATGAAATGTGACTAGCAGAGCACCAAAGCGAGAGAGCAAGTCGGCGACAATGTCGAGTGCCTCGAGTTGTACGGATACATCCTCTTGCTGAAAGATGCGTCATGTATATAGATATACATAGATTAGAGATACACATTAAACTCGAAATCAGACAAAGATAATTTACCTTTTCAATAGCGCTGCTTAATTTGCCTGTGATACGTCTACAAACGTTTGCGACTAATGCACTACAACCCAAGGGAAGCTCTGAAATGACAGTCTTCAAACCGATGCTAGAGATATCGCGCAACTGTTCCTTGTCAGATACCATATTGGTGCATAGAGCATCCACAATAGTTTCCACTTGATAATCCTTTACTTTATTAACTAATGGGCCCAGACTGAAATTGCACACATTCTTGTAATTAAGCGATTCAACAAAAAATTTATAATACTTCACGCACAGGTCTACTCTGGTTATTTCACTCGTGTTAATAATCTTCAATTCAATGTAATGTATTAGTATACAAAAATTCATATATATGAGAAAGACACAATATTAATATATATGAAATATACAAAAACATAAATAAGAAAATACATTATAATATGAAGACAAAGAAATCTACCATTTGACAGCAAGATTCTGCACTTCTCCGTTTTTGTCTTCCAATAACTTAAGAAGCATTTTTACAACTTTACGCTCAGAATCATCGTCCAGTTTGATGCTGTCTTTTTGCAGTTCGCTCATCAAGTCATTAGTTGCCATAAACCTGAAGTCTTTATCGCTGGATGTCATCTACAAAGGGAGCATAGCCATTCAAGCACAGTCATATTAAGGATAATACAAAAATACATATAACAAAGATTACATCTAATAATTATGAATTGATTTAGAAATATCAGAGATAATCGATTAATTCATAATTACAAACGCAGACAATAATGAAGTCGATAATCACAGGCAATGATGAAATCGATTAGATATCAATTACTCGGCATGCGGGCAAATAATTACAATATCCGAATATAATCGACGTGTACAAACACTCTTAATATTTATGCGAGGAAATATATTCTAAATTAAAATTAGGGAAAAAAAAGAAGTCCGCGTTCTCTCATTTTACGACACACTACGAGCGAGTTGCGCCGAAAAAAATCGGGAGAACGCGGCTAGGTTATATCATTGAGAAAGGATCACGACGGAATAAGAATCTCGGTGCGAGGCACACGAGCGTATAAAATGACATTTCCCTCGATCGCTGCATCGCGTATTTCGCACGTACGCCGATGCGCGACGATTATGCATACCTTCTCCAGCAGGTTCGCTATTTGATAGGAGACACTAGCCATGGTTGCGGAGTTTTTTTTCACAGCCGGTTCGACGATCGGCAGCAAGTTCCGGCGGCGCGTTTTATAAGGCAACGAAAAAAAGGAAAGGAAAAACAAAGCGGATCCCCCCCGGTGGCGACGATATACCGACGAATCCTCACCCCGGATGAAAAATCGCGAGGAGAAAACCGAAAAGGATATATTTATATATATATATATATAGCGGCGTTTTTTTCCCTCTTTTTGTTTTCTCGCTTCTCTACCAAAAGTTATCCGCTATCGGCAGCATCTCTCAACGCGATGCCGAAATTTTGACTGAACGTGCGCGTTCCTAAAGCCGCCACGAGGAAGCCGCCCGTAGAGTAGCACGCGCATGCGCGTCTATATGTATTACGTGTTTATTCGTGTGTGTGTGTGTGAGAGTATATATTTTTAGATCCTCGTGAAAAAATAATGCCGAATTGAGATGCACTTTTCGCTATTTTTAACGCGATTCATCGACCGTCAGCACGCGACATAACAACTCGATCATGAATTACGTCGCATCGTGACGTATTTGGTGGGATTCTCTCGAGTTTCTCATTCCTGAACTCTTACAGCGATCACTTTCGTTCGGAAAGATGTTTTTATTTATGGCATACGAGGAAAAAATTAAGATTCGAATTGAATAATTTCACATTGAATAATTCAAACTGGCAAACATGATAAGATAAATATATGTAGATTAATATAATTTTTTGTTATCTTCTGCTTCTAGAAATTTAAGAATTTAGATGCAAATTGAACACTTCCGTTTACATATTTAATCTGATAACTTACAATTTTACATTTATTACAATAATTAACACAACTGCCATTCTGCGACAGAAGAATGAGAAGCTTATTATATTTTTACCTGCACGTAACAATATCTATAATTATAACTACTTTAAGTCTTAAATCATATGAGTACGTGAATGACAAGAAAATATACAGTGAGATAGTTAAAATAAATAAAAATATAACAGTAAAATATTAGAGAGAAGAGTGCAAAAATATCTTAATCAGTCTCATCATCGTCCTCTTCCTCCGTTGAGTCTTCCTCAGCATTCGGATCTTCAAAGTTTGAAACCTGATTTTCCTAAAATGAAAGGATAGTTTTAGACATACAAATTATTTGGAGAGTAAAGAAATTGGCATATAAATATGACTTATTATTATGTATTTACAATTTTTTCCTTTGCTTTTGCTATTCCTGATTCCTGTGAATCCTTGCTTTTGTTGTCAGTAGTTGTCGTTGAACTAGTAGCCACATTTATAAAAGAAGTGATGGGTTTCTGCCATTCCGGTGTTTCCCTTGGATGATAAGGATTTCCACCTCCAGAGCTTTTTCCTGCACCTGTGAATATAAATTGTATTTTCTTTATCAATATCTGTTCTTCATCTAGAATGCGAAGAATACATGTGGAAGAGACGTCATACTTTTTTTGCCATTACTTTTGCCAGGATTAGCCGCGCGAATTTTTCCAGGAGCTTTTCCACCCACAGCTGTAAATAAACGACATAAACAGATAATAACATTCGCAACTGTCGTTAATAAAATTCGTCAAGTGTCTTTATTTGTTCTACTTTAGCCTACCTTTTGTAGGTACTCTGTCCGCCTTTGTTCTCACCATGTTTCTCCACTACGGAAAAGTTTTTAGAAAACTCTGCTTTACACACAAGAATCGCAGAAACGAGAACTTGCGAAATAATACCGCACCACTTGCCAAAATATCGTTATGGAATTTGAAATTGCAGTCAAATCCAGTATGGCCAAATTAGGCATCATCGTGTACTAGTCAGCAGTTTGGAGGGATTTTTTTTGAAGCGCGAAATATGAAATATTGAAATAATGCGTTTAAAAAATATTAAGTTTTTTTTTTAATATATAAATTTGGATACGTACGAAGGAAATTAAATTGTCATTGATATTAATCTTACGATTTTATTAACCGTAGGAGACAAGTACGAGTATTTCGAAAATTCGCTTAATTTAGCCATTTAACAAGTACAGAATTTCAAGAATCGTGTCACTTTTTACGTCTCATTTAATAATTTAGAAGAGCGAACGGCGCTTTTTGTTAGTATATTTACAGAAATTGTTTAAAGCGCTCGCGTTGTACTCGACACTGGCAATGTCATCGATAATTTTATCATAAATACAAGTTCACGCAAGTTCACAGAGAGAGAATAAATATATATATGAGTACAATATATATATATATATATATATATATATATATATATATATATATATATTTGTTGGACGATTATTTGCATAATCGTATAAAATTTTTTCCTGACATCATAGCACCTTTGGATATTCATACAATTCGGTGTCATTCGTTGAAGGAACGAAAGACAAACGAAAATTATGCAAAATAATTTATGTATACATATATATACCGATACATGTGCATATGTTACATTAAACAAAGCCCTTTGTTTTCGACATGAGGATATTTGTTGAGATTTCGCCTTAAAAAAAATAGATGCATGTGTAAGACCTCGTTATTTTAAACACCTTTAAACACCCTGTAAAACACACGTCTGTGCGCAGTCGAAAAGGAAGATAGATATTACAAATTAGATAATTTAATATCTTAATACTGAATCACAGAGCCTTGTTAAAAGGCAAACGATATAAATTATGTCTTTGAATAATCTTCCGCATAGTTTTATAGTATCATAGATGTTTGTATCTGTCTTAAAAGGAAAATGGATTATTATATACATATATATATCGCATATATATAATAATCCATACCAATATAACCACCGATTGCGACGCGTTCGTAAAATAGACTTATATCCAAGGCTATATATCCTATTTTTCACTCTACGACATACGCAAAAAATCAAAGAGAGAATTGTGTTTGAAATGTTACTCCGTAACGAGAATACATAAATTATACATATGAAGTTATTACTTTAGTTATTACTTTCAGACGATTTTTTTAATGAAATATTTTAACAATATTGAGTATATTCTCGTCAATAACAATGCATCAATTATATTTTATTTCACTATCTATGAAATTGCCGGTATCTCGAAATTTACACTGAGATTTTCAGATTGCGCTAATTTAACAATAGTCGATAGTTTCACTGCGACTCGTGCTGCTTCGTCCAGATCGTCGATTGGTACGATTTTTAAACCCGCATTAGCGATCAGAGCTTTGGCTTCATCCACGTTGGTACCCTGCGAAAGCAACAAACGTATTTTTGCACTATTCCATAATTATTTACGAAACAAAGTGCATCACCAATATTGTACCTGCAATCTTACGACGACAGGAATTTTTAAATCTAATTCCTTAGTTGCAGCGATAATTCCTTCTGCTATGACGTCGCATCTCATGATGCCGCCAAAAATATTAACTAAAAGAGCATGAACCTATATTAAAAAAAAAAAAAAAAAAAAAAAAACAATATACGTTAAATTATTGTACATTAATTCACAGAGATAAACACAATGACACATTACACACTTACTCGTGAATCAGAAGTGATGATTTTGAATGCCTCTTTCACCGCAGAAGCCGACGCACCACCACCAACGTCGAGGAAATTAGCCGGTTCACCACCATGTAACTTTATGATGTCCATCGTAGCCATGGCTAACCCAGCTCCGTTCACCATGCAGCCTATATTGCCGTCAAGGGCGATGTAATTCAAATCGAATTTCGCAGCCGCGACTTCCTTGGGATCTTCCTGAGACCAATCCCTGAGACTAAACAGTTCTTTTTGCCTGAACTCGGCATTATCATCGAACCGGCACTTGCAATCCAGTGCAAAATCTGTAAAAGAATATAAGTGCGCAATTGAAATACTTATAAATTATAATATACTTATAAAATATCATGAGAAGAGAGAAAGAAAGATTTTAGACTTACAGTTCCCATTAATGTCTTCGGCGAGAGGATTCACTTCCAGAAGAAGAGCATCCTTCTTGAGGAACATTGCATAAAGATTTATAATTATATTGCAAATGTAATCCTTCACGTTATCGAGACCGAGCTTGGTCACTATACGTTCTGCCTGCTCCTTTGTAATTCCTTTGTTGATGTCGATAGGTTCGTACATGATGGCGCTAGGATTCGTAGCAGCAACTTCCTCGATATTTACTCCACCTTGGCTGGAAGCTATTATGACGGGACCCTAAAATAAAAAAAATATCCATTAAAAATTCTTCTCTCTGTACAATATCAATATCTGTCAAAAAATGGCCTTCTTTTCGCGAAACTTACACCAAAGGCTCTTTCCATCATGACAGCAAGGTAATATTCTTTACGAGGAAACATACGTTGCGTGACCATCACGGCATTACATATCCTACCGGCTTCACCAGTTTGTTTCGTGATCAATAGTTTACCCAGCATCTGACCCGCCAATGACTTAGCTTCTTCTGGACTGAAGAGAAAACGACGATATAATAAATTCAATAATACTTCCAAATATATGCATACAATTATGTAGACATGTCATAATTACGTTTCACACATCTTCACGCCACTGACATTCGTTCCTTTGAAGTGTCCCTTTCCTCTACCGCCAGCAAGAACTTGAGCCTTCAAGACGATATCTTTTGTCTTCAGATCGGAGGCCAGTTTAGCTGCCTCGTCAGCGCTTTTGGCAACGCCAAATTTCGGAGTAGGTACGCCGGCTTCATTGAGCAGACTGTAGCTGATATGTTCGTGTACATTTAAATTCCTGACTGGTTGTTTCGCCAAGTTAGTCTTGCATGCTAATATCTGAAAGAGAGAAGGACTTGTGATGTAATAAACTTATAGTAATCGTTCTCGCGTTAGGATTATAACAAATATATCTCTAACTCTCTCTAGCCTTTGTCATTATATTGATAAAAAAAATATATGTCAAAGTTTACATTTACATATATAATCGACAAAGGTAAAGAAAAAAGTTGATAGAAATTGTTGACACATGATTCATTCCTTTCAAGAGAATAAGATAACATAAGCAGTTTAAAGTACACGTGAAGTAGAATCTGTCACTATATAAATAATGTGTAACATGATTGATATATAGAGATTTAAATATAAATAAGCTACTTGAAGGCTGCATAACTTATAAACTATATATTGATATTGCATACATTGCAACTCTGCTGTACGTAAAGCTTTGGCACAAATGCTTAACATAGAATAAAGTGAATTGTGTAACAGATTTTTAACTGATAAATTTCTTTATCAATTTATTTTTTGCTATTCTTTCTAAAGGATGTTAAGATTACAATAATTTTTAGATAAAATTAATTAAAAAGGCAGAGATACTCCTCTTCGCAAATTATATTATTTGATAAAAGCACATTAAATAAAATATTAGAAAATATTGTAAAAAAGAGTAAGTAAAATGGATTTTATTCCACATTTAAATTTTGTTTCACAGTTATTTATAAATTTTTATTAATAAATAATGGAAAAATTAAAGAATCTGTCAAAATTCAAATTAGTACTCCATTGTTGACAGTTTATATATATAAAATGGATTTTTAAACAAATATTCAAGTTATATATCGTTAATAAGCATACAGAGTCGTAAATTTTGACAACTGTCAAACACATGCGAGTCAGCATTAAATATATCAAAACATTTTTTGATACTTATGAATATTTATGAACCGACAAATGTAAATTCGAAATAAAGAAAGAAGCGCACGATCGTCAACATGTTTTCTCTCGTCATGCAAAAATGATTAAATCATTCATCCAAAAATAGAACGATCGTCGAATGTTCGGTCGTTTGACAAGTGTGTACCCCTTCAGAAGTACGTAATATAATTCGATTAAACGCAATCGTACGCGGAAACGGATGTCGCGTCCGTCGAGGGGACGGCATGCAAATAGATTTTCCGCGCAGTTGCATAACTGTCAGGTCGATTTTTCGGGGAAAAATCTCGCCTCCGAGATCCTTGGGCTTCAAATCGCTCGCGACCCTGGCGCTCAATTTAGCAGACTACAGCCGTCTCTCGTGATGACCGATCGCCTCTCTCTCTTTCTCTCCTTCTTTTACTCCTCTCTTCTCCCTCACGCCATCGATTCGTCGTCGTCATCGACTACGGGACACTTTGCGCGTTCCCTCGAAACATGCCAGGCGCTCGGTTAAAAATCCTACACGCGGAAACCGGCCGACTTGACATACCTTAGGACCGTTCAATCGGCAGAAACTCTCCGTGAGCAAGATCGTCCGCGACAACATGGTAGCCATCTTTACCTAAGCGACGACCGTACTGCCAAGAGCGAGTTTCGTCCTCGTGGCCCCCACCTAAAGAACTTGACGTTTCCCTCGCGCAAGTATGATATGACGCAGAAGAGCCGACGCGCAGACTCGCGAATTTGTATGTTGCTCCGATGATGGAGTCACGACGAGCAGCGCCGAACAGGCTGATTTTTATATTGCATTTGCAAAGAAAAATTGGCTCGATGTATCTTTAGCTTCTTACAGAAAGTTCGATATATTTTTAAGAGATAATAGCTTTGAGGATTTAAAGAATTCCTTAAATCGTGATTATTGAAAAATTCGATTCGCACTTCTTCACTCGATAGATTCTCCAATTTTCGAAATTTTAAATTACTCTGGTGTCGGTAAAATAAATTTCTTATTAATTGAATGTCGATAATTCATAAAACATAATTATCGACAGAAAACATGAGACTTTTAAATGTCATTGCACGAGATTCTTTCAAAAATCGCTTTTATAATAATGTACAAGAAGTTACTTTCGTGCATAGAGTTCAAACAGGAAACAAATATGCTGATCTAATTATCTTTTACATCCGCATAAAACAAGAACTAGCAACAAAATGTTTCTTATATACGAAACAATATATTTTATGCATATGCAAATATAAAACATTTTGTAAATTGTTCTAAAATAATTTTACTTCTTGCGTTTTTCACAGATCTTTGTTTTTTCCGATAATTTAGCACTGAATGTAATATCCAAATCCAAAGACTTTGCCAAATTCATCATCAATGCTAACTTGACCGATGTCTCGGCTGCTTGAGCAAAGTCATCCACAGAAATTACTTCTAACTTAGCATCTAATATCAATTTTTTAGCTTTGTCAACATTAGTACCCTACGAAAAGATAAATGGATTAATGAAAAAAAGAAAAAAATAAAATTTGCGGATAATACAATTTTTAAAAGTATAATTGTTACCTGTAATCGCACAACTACAGGTATCTTCAACTTCAATTCTTTAAAAGCGTCGATGATCCCTTGAGCGATTATGTCGCATCTCATTATGCCACCAAAAATGTTTACTAAAATAGCTTCGACCTGAAAAATATTCCATAATCATTGATAACCAATCGATCGTATGGCTTCATTGTCGATTTAATTTTTACATCGACAATTACATGTGGATCTGAAGACAGTATTTTGAATCCCTCCTTCACGGTTTCGATTGTAGCAGTGCCACCGACATCCAAGAAATTTGCTGGCATACCACCGTAGAGCTTTATGATGTCCATGGTGGCCATAGCTAAACCGGCTCCGTTTACCATACAGCCGATATTTCCGTCCAGAGCTATATAATTTAAATTGTACTTCTCCGCTTCGACCTCCTTCGGGTCCATTTGAGTTGTATCTTTCAACGTAAACAATTCTTTCTGTCGGAATTCAGCGCTATCGTCGAACTTACATTTGCAATCCAGAGCGTAATCTACAGCAAGCATTAAGAGCAACTGCATCATTTGATCTCTTTGAAAAATGTAATATCCTCAGATAGCCACAATAATCATCATAACATTTTAATCAAAATAATATATATTAATATATTAAATATAATTAATATATGAAATACTATAATTTGATACGTCAAAATGACTACTTTGCTATCTGGATCATATACTCTTACTCTTATATTCATTATTTTTTAAATTTAATTTACATTGACCGCAAATATCCTCCGCGAAGGGATTGACCTCGAGGAGCAGAGCGTCCTTCTCGACGAACAATTCATACAGATTGCAGGCGACAATCGACGCAATCTCTTTGCTATTCCCCGTAAGTCCGAGCTTCTCGGCGACGCAGTTTGCTTGCGCGGATGTCAAGCCTTTCTTTATGTCAATTGGTATATACGCCACGGCTTCAGGATGAGCGGTTGCAATCTCCTCGATGTTCACGCCGCCTCGTTTGGAAATGATCATTACAGGCCCCTTGTAAAAGAAATGAACGCTGATTAGCCGATCCCCTTGATAAGAGAACAATTTGTATTATATACAATAGATGATTTTTTTACACCACATTGTAAAGAAAGAGATCAACTCTGAACTAGTGCAACCAGTTCAGCTGAAAAGAATATACCTATATATATATATATATATATATACATACATCAAAAGCCCGTTCTAGCATCACCGCCATGTAATATTCTTTCCGAGGAAACATGCGTGCTGTCACCATCACGGAATTACATATCTTTCCAGCCACACCAGTTTGTTTAGTTATCAGCATCTTGCCTAGCATATTGCTCGCAAATTCCTTCACTTGCTCCGGTCTGTAATAAAGATAGAGAGACTATTTCGTATCTCGCTTCTACTCATTATAAATTACAATCGTTTCTCTTTCATGTTTTATTTATTTTTTCATTAACTCACGTTTCGCACATTATAACGCCGCTGATATCGCTGTCCTTGAAATGTCCCATTGCTCTACCGCCGGCCAAAATCTGCGCTTTCACTACGAGATCCTTAGTATTCAGATTCTTAGCCAGCTCGGTGGCTTCGAGAGGTGTCTTAGCCACCCCGAAAGGCGGAGTAGGAATTCCAGCTTCTTTTAATAAAGTATACGCCATATGTTCATGTATCTCTAAATTTCGCACCAGTCGTTTAAAGATCGACCCTTTTTGCGCTAACAGCTAACGTGGAGAAGAAGTATACTTTACATAAATATATCTGACTGCGGATGAGATTCACATAATTTTAAAAATTAACTTAAAAAAAAAGAATATATCTTAGATTACTTTTTTATTTTACGACACATGCATAATACATTTTTTAAAAGTGTTTTTTTCACCTGTTTGTTTATCCCTTGAGCGCATATTTTTGCTGAAGACAATAATACAAACGACATGATGACGATTAGTGACAGTTTATTTATGTACTATTTATGACACCTGTGATGTAAACTGTCATTGCTCATATCGATTCCTATGAAATTATATGTTCAATGTGACATTTCGGTTTTTTTTACAATTTCGTTAGACGATTTTCTTGTCTGTAATGTAAATACAAAATACACATAATATACATGTGAAAAAATTTGGATTCACTTACGAGACGCTTCGCAAAAGCTTCGTGAGCATTTAAACGACTGAGGGTCGAATGGACAACGAGCTCATATTACGTTTACTTCGTTTTTTTATTGTAACGATGATAAATGAATCGCGATTCATATACGCAGATGATATTCGAATGGACTCCAATGGCTCGTGTTAAAAATATCTTCCACGTTTTCGTAGATTTCTCTACAACTGCGTCGTTGTATCCAGCACTCGTTATCACTTCTTGAAAGAACAATGGTTGAAAGAGCTCATGTAGCCGTTGTAAACCAATGCTCTGATTAAAGATACGCGTATATTCCTCGGATTGAATAACAAAAAGTCAGCGGAATATTAATATCTTAACTAAAAAAAACTTAAGACTACGCGATATAAGTTTTCAAAACGTTTACGATGAAATATATATGTTTGTGAAAGATACTTATGCATATCGTTGCTAATGTTTTCCAATTGAAGCATGATGTACTCATGTTTTATTACGCTGTTGTACGATATAAAAACGTACATAAATATTAAATTGTAATTTAATTGATACATATGTATGTTATTTCCATAATTATGCAAACTTCTTCTCCTTATATATTTATACTTTTATCATATTATGATTTATATAATATTATTTATGTAAGTTTTATGTTTAATATCACTTAGATGTTGTCAATTTAAGAAGATGAAGATAACCAGTAGTCAAGATTTGATATATTTTTAAAGCAAAAAGAAAGTACATTCAAAAGATATCAGCAATCTATAAATACATTTTATTAAATGTAATATACTCAAGATTTACTTTCATCCTATAATATCGAAATCTCAACAAATCACTCTGCATGCTTTACGTATTTAAATATAACACACACATTTTTCTCCTTTCTATATTTCATAAAATAAAAAATACTGAAGATTTTACAAAGTTATTGCACACAGATAAAAAATGAGATTACTTTAATTCTGATAGATGAAAATCGCTTCTCATACTATCCTTATGTATTATTATAATACATAACACTGATAAAAGTACTACTTTTTATGATATTCCCTACAAATAGTATTTGTACACACGTAATGGTGCAAATGCTACAAAGCGATACTTTAAATTAACTTTTGCATTAAGATAAATGAAAAAAAATGTAAAGATGTTAATTTATGCATTATGCGCATCGCGTTGTCATTTATAACGTTTAAAAAAAGAACATTTAATCTATGTGTTGTTAAAAAAAAATTACTCTCCCTTTGCTTCAGATATTATCAGTAAATTATCAATAATAGATTATCAATAAGCTTTTGAATATAAAGTAAATTTTTCGAGACTATACTAGTTAAAAGCTAAACCGATCATTAAGAGTTCGCCCTGTAACGCCGAGATTTCCCGATAGGCTGTACATAACTTCGCTGAAACTGCGGTCGTCGACGTCTCCACTGGAATCGGATGTATTCGTATTGTGCGTCCCTGAACGTGATCGTGATCTCGATCTTGAGCGTTGTCGGAATAACGGTGCTCGACCAACCTGGAATTACGATAAATATATCTATCTGTTACCTAAAATAAATATATGACATATATATCACTCTTGTGGCCATTATATATTTTTTCCGATTTATTATAATAAAATTGAATATAAAAAAATACTAATTGTTAAGTTAATGGCTAATCAATTTCTGAGATAATTATATGAAAGTTAATAATCGAATAATAAAAAAGTAAATTGAATTAAATTGAAAAAATGAGTATTTTAAGAGAAAAAAATGTAAAAGAAAATTTATTTACCATGTTTACACCCGGAGCATTTTGTCTGTATGGTGATCGTCCTCTGGGCAGCTGTCGCATGCCACCGATGGGCACAATATGTTGAGTCGGGGCGAGAGTGAGTAGTCGCGGTCGTGTGGGTGTAGGTGTGTATTCGCTTCCCAACGTGCACATGAAATTGACATTTGGAGTAGGAGTCAATCGGGCAGAGCTACAATATTATTGTATTTAAGAAATTTTGTGATTATTTTTCTTTTATGTATCATTATCGTTGAGTTAATGATAGATATAAACTATTAAAGACATTTCTATATAATTTAATGCTTGTGATCAACACACGAATATGAAAGAAGAACCGAGCTGCGGAAATTAATTTGACGAATTATAATTTACTTCATTCTCATCAATTTTTGTTCGTACTGCGCCCGTCTTTGTGCACGAGCGATTTGATCGGATCGTAGTCCACCAGTTGTGAAGCGACGCTGCGATGTTAATATCTGTTGCCTTGCCAAAGTGCTCCTTGGTTGCATAGTGAGTAGATTCTTCTGTGCTCCGGTCTGTGCCAACTGTAATAAATAATATATGTATATACACATATATTCATTATCAGTGTACTCATGTATCATTTTTATATACATATACACATTAAAGAATAATCAATACTCACTCTGAATTGATTCTGTAAGTTCAGTCTCTGGTTCTGTCTCTGCAGCAGCAGCTGCTTCGCGCGTTTCACGCGATTCCGATAGGCGATCTGAGCGGGACTTTGATATCCTAAACGATTGTGGACAGAATTCGGATCTCGGAGATTGGGCAAGCTACTCGTTCTCTTTAACGGGCTCTTGTTGTTCGTAAAGAAGCCGCCCTGATTGAACGTCAGGTTCGTGCGGCTTCTGCTACGGGTCAAATTGGGGAATCTATTGTTTCTGCCACGACGGATATTGAACGCACCTCTCGCGTTCGTTTTCTGGTTCAAGCTCAAGTTGCTGCGCGATCTCGTGAGATTGCCGAGATTCTTTTTGAAGCGATTCTTAGCGAAACCGCGAACGTTATTCGTGTTATTCGCGTTGCGCTGCCAGATCTGTTGCTGCTGCTGTTTCTTCACGATGACCCCGACGTTGCCCCGTTTGATTCTCGCACCTCTTCCTCTAAATCCGGCTCGGCTTCTTATGGTACCGCGATTATTGCGCTTGGGACCGCCGGTTTTTCCGTTCGCCGCGTTCTTTTTCTTTTTCTCCATTTTCTCCATCTTTATGATCTCATCTTAAAAGGAAGAAAATGCGCAACATTTAATGAGCGTACGGCAAACGTACGGCGATGGTGGATCTCTTTAATCTTTATGAAACTTTAATTCAAAAACATTTAATGATAGATTTCTCGGTGCATATTTTAATTCCAACAAAGAAGCGCGATTTCTCTCAAATAAATATTTTTTGTTTCAAATTATCACATCAGTATTAGCATTGGAAAATAGAAATATCATATTGTGTTTATAATCTCTATATATATCAATAAGTCTATATATATATCAATGTTTTTGTGATTATATATCTTTTCCAATTTATACTAATAAAATTAAATATAAAAAAGTCTAATTGTTAAGTTAATGTATAATCACTTTCCAAAATCATTATATGAAAGTTAATAATCAAATAAAAAAATACTAGTTCAATAGACAATCGCGGAGAAAAAAAAAATAAAAATTACATGCTGACTTTTAATTAATTGAAATTATATTAAAATTACACAATCTAATAAAAAGTAAAATGTTTATAGAAAAATGGCACAAAATTTTAAATAGAAGGAATTATTAGTCAGCCTCAATCCCATTTGAAAGAAATAATGCTTTTCCGGAGTACGACTAAACTTCTATAGATATTTTTTATGTGCAATATAAGTTATCGCGTTGCATTTTAATTTTCGGTAGTCCATTTATTTTTATCCGTATTCGTCATTCGCTGCTTTATAATCAATCTGGAATGGTGTGCGATCGGGGAAATGCTGCAGTTCATAATTCTTCGCTAATTTGTGATGTTGCTCCTCATATAGGAATTTTTACATTATATTTCTTGCGAGTTGTGCCTCTCTGTCTCTCTTTATTCTTCCTTTTATTATTTTATATAATGAATTCGTATGAAAATCTGAACCAGTCGTAATTCTTCTTGTAACAAGTCCTCGATTGTTATCTCTTTTATGCACGATATTGCATTTCAGAAGATTTTCAAGAAGCCCACACGTAAATAATAATCGCCCCATTAAATAAATTTTTTTACATAGATAACTAATTCATAAATATACATGTTCCTCCGCTAGGAATGTCTGCGAGCATTAGAGATTGCGCATTTTCTCTCTATAAAACCTGATCAAAATCAGCTTGCGTACAGAGTACCTGCATTTTTAACTTGCCAGTAAACATTATACTGCTATACATCAATATATAGTGAATTAATTTCGAGTTGCATCCCAAACAAATTAAGGAAGCGAGATTTAATTCGCATTTCAATCCGTACACCACTGTAGGCTCTCTTTCACACATTCGTCTGATAAGAGCGGAATAAAAGCTAAATAAATGTCATCGTAATTCGCGCGCGCTCCCGGTTATTAAGCCTCTGCACCGATGGTCTAGCGCAGGATAAAATTGTATCGATATGCATGCATGCATATGAGATGTCCCATTTCCCGTATTTGTCGCTCGCCGATAAGAGACTGGTCGACGGTGTAACGGATAAAAATACAGTATTGCGCAATGTCCCGCGCGTGACGAGAGAGTGAGATTTTCGTCGGGGATGAGTCATCATGCACGGTCGCGCGACGTGTTTGGCACGATTTCTTGAGACTCTTTACGAATCCGGTCTTTCGTTTATCGAGCAGAAAGCCATGGTACTGGGGAACCATGTTCCGACGATTTCTAAACGATGAAATGATGAACCGGGAATAGTCTAGAATTAGCGATGCGTATATACATATTACATGACTGTAATTATATATATATATATATATATATTGTGTCCTCTATATCGGTAGCATAAATCAAGATGATTCCTCAGCTCGGATTAGATCTCTGGATCGCCCTGAGCACAAGTTGAAAGTCGAAGTAAAACCAGTTTTCTTTGTCGTTGCTGTTAGAGAACTATGGCATTCCAATGTGATGACACGTCGTTAAACCACATGCTTTCATAGAAAATTGATTGTATACGTAATATGTATTAATGATTATAATAAGTAATTTCGTATCCCCATTCTCTTGCGATCAAGATCCAGAGAAGTTATAGCAGATGTAAGAGTAGTTTGAAAATTGTCACGTAGAATAATTCTTTCTAGGATATTCCTGATTCTGTTTCTTGGTGGAATTTGGTGGACTTCGATGAATTTTCCTGCCGATACATCCTATCGTAGACATTCCTTTCTTCCTTGGAAAGAAGAGGTAGAAAAGAAAAAAAGATTTAAGACAGACATAAGGTAGCCCTTTGTGTGAGAAGTTCCTGATAAAAATTCTCTAATCGCTTCTTGATATTTCTATCGCATTTCTTGCACATCAAGGTGTCCATACATCGCAGTCATATATTTCTTCCTGAAATAAGCAACATTCCTAACAATAGCAACTGCGGAATGCGATGAAAGTGGAGTAATTCTTCTCACGAAAACTTCCTGGCATGGATAGTCGAAAGGTTCCTTAATATTCCCATTAAAATTAGTATTGTGAACCTGTTCGCAGTAATTCTTCTCTTCGTGAGGGCCAAATAAATAACGCGCAATCCTAGAATATTATATAAGACGAACGACAAGTTGCTGCATCGCTTCCTCGTGTTATATTCGAATTTCTCAGCTTCCCTTGTTCTTTTGTCTGGAACAAATTCACGACCTGACCCGGATAATTGATTTCGGCGAAATAAGATCTACGATTACCAGAAGCAACGGTGCGAAAACGAAACTGTGGCGATACTCCGTTTTGCTATACCTCTCTTCTTCAAGAACGTGAAAAAATCTCTCTCTCGTAATCCTCGCGTGTTTTTCGTTTAATGCGCCCTCGTAGAAGTCATCCCCGTCGAGATTATGCACCCTCTCGTCTACCTTTGTCAGGGAGAGACGAGACACGACGGGGAGGAACCGGATGTAACAAGCGAAAACAAATGCAGGTACCCTACGTGCTCACATGTACGCCGACGCCATTTTGTCGTTCATCAATTCGTTCGTACGGGATTTCGAGGGGACAATGTGCTTGCGAACTGTACGCTCACCCAGGATTACTGGCAAAATCGTTAAGCTGTTGGGATTCTGGCCACTTACCGAGCGACATATTCACTTTTGCATCAATCTCTGACATTTTTGCGGTCTTGCGTTCTCGCTCTCTCTTTTTATCTCTCTCTCTCTCTCTTTCTCTCTCTCTCTCTCTTACGTTCTAATTCTAGATATATGTATGTGCCAAGATTTATCGCACGTATTTACACGCGACGTTGATAATGTTCGCCTTTAATTCGCGCACTTTTTGCCCAACTTTTTCTCTGATTGTCTGCTCGCGATCCATAAACTATTTCGACGCGACTACGAAAAAACTCGCGTGAGATTACGACACGTTAAACGAAAAAGGCGGTCGGAAACGAACTGAAGTGCGTCGAAGGCCGAAGTAGCCATGTGGTACAGAGACACGAGAGAGGAAACGCGGTTGGATGCGCAGAGCCGGATGCGTAATGAATCGACCAATCGCGTAATCGAATTATATCGATCGATTAATATCGCAACTATTTGAAAAAAAACTACCGCCTGTCATTATCATTGATTAAGAAAATACTTTTGATATTTCGCAAATTATTAATTGAATTAGTAATTTAATTATTAATTGAAATAGATTAATTAAAATATCTTTAAATTAATATTTTTAGCAAGATATATAATAATTTTTATTAATTTAAAGAAAGCATTTTAATTGTTTAGAGTAGCTGAAGACTTCATTTTCAATATATTCAGCTTTATTTTATTTTATTCATTGAAATAGATTAATTATCTTTGAATTAATATTTTTAGCAAGATATATATAATAATTTATTAATTTAAAGAGAACAATTCGCGATTGCTCAGAATAGCTGAAGGCTTCTGATTTTGATGTATAAATATAACTATCTTCATTTCTTTTATATATTATACCTAATTTGATTTAAAAATCTTTATATTCGAAGTATATAAAAGATATTAAAATGTGCGAGAATATTTTGAAAAATAATGTTCCGTGTGAAAAATTACAAGATACCTCTGCCAAAAATTCCTCGCGAATGTCGTCAACTGCTTCGACTCTAAATGTACTTGTAGCTTCTCTAATTAAATTTTAATTCGAATTAAGATAATTATTCTCTGACCCTTTGGAAAGGTCTGCTTATCTACGGAATCGTACGGATGCAAATCCATCTCTGTTGATGAAGAACGAAAACAGCGGATTATAGACAGCGATTGGGGAGGCTACGCCTTGGATTTAGATTTATGGGAGGACAGCAAATCGCCCGTGATACAAGTCAGATCGAATGAAATTTCGTTTGATAACAAAGAATGTTGCGGTTTCTTATCCGACAGATTAATAGGCACCGGTTTATCCTTTTTAACAAGATCACCTGAAAGTGGTCTTTACGTTCTCAGTAAATGTGTCCTGAAGAACAAGGTGATGTTAAAAAAATACATTTCTCCTTTTATCTTTATAAACGAATAATATACATTTTTTTCCTCAAAAATGCGACACTTTATTCCCGCTATTTTTCTCTTTTCAGAATCTGACAGACGTCACCATGTTGCAGTATCATCATCACTTACAATACGTTAATATCGCTTATAATAATATATCTTGCTTATCATTTCTGGACGGCCTTCCGTATCTGATGTATCTAAACGCATCACATAATAACATTGAATACTTGCCAAATTTCGCACTTCCTTGGTATCTTACCTACGTAAATTTATCGTACAATCACATGACGAATATAGGCGATTTGAAAAATTGTTGGAGCATCGTTAGATTAAATTTATCTCACAACATTATAGAAAACATCTCTGATTTTGAAAATTTAAAGTAAATATATATGTGTATATATAGACATATACATAATTAGCATAAATATATATATATATAAATGATGTGTATTTGCAATTCGTATATCTTATTATTACTTGGTCCATTTTAGACACTTGCAATATTTAAACTTGTCCTACAATCTCATCCAATGCATCACAAATTTGGACGGTCTGAATATACGGGAATTAAATTTAGAAGGCAATTGCATAACATCATTTAAATCCGCTACACCCGGTAATGGTATAAATACATTGCCTCATCTACAAGTAATAATTCTGGGATACAATAGATTATCCACTTTGGAATTTTTCAAAGTAATGATTGAACCTTCAGATTCAAAACTTGACAAATTCCATTTCAATATAATTAAACACATTATATACATTTTATACACAATTAGGATGCATACAATTTACGATACGTAGATCTAAAATTTAATAAAATCACCGACCTGTTGGAAGTACTGAATCTGAAGGGTATGATAAATAAGATCGACTTGACAGGTAACGCCTGCACGAAATGGCCTAATTATCGAAACATGCTGATATCCTCCATTCCGAGCGTTAGATTTGTCGATGGTGTTGAAGTATTCACGACGGAAAAAGTGAAGTCTTGATCGAGAAATGTATGCATTATATATACAGCTATGTCAAATATAAATATTCTTCAGGTAACATCGGCCATGCTATTCGCGTCGCCGCTGGATTTAACAGCGGCCCGTAAAGTAGCAAAATTAATGTTGTTGGAGCAATTAAATATCAGCAAAATGGATGACCATATTCAACCCTACGACGAGATCTATCCTCCTCTGGTGATATTAACAGGACCGGCGGCGTTGAAGAAAATGGCACTGATTTTGCACATAGCTCAAACAATTCCTGAGAAAGTAATAAAAATAAAATATATATTACAAATGTATATATCAAACTGTAGATATGTATATATTATACACATAACTTATATTTTTAAAATGAAAAGATGTGTGTGCGATCTCTTGCAGATAAAATACTGCCGTTGGCATACAACAAAAGAAATGTGCGAGGACGATGACGAGCTTAACGCTCATATTCTTATAAACCGAGAAGAGTTTAACGATCTGGCACGACGTGGCGAATTTTTAGTTATCTTAGATCGATTGGGTGAAAGTTATGGTTTTCGTTAGTATGCGATTATTTGGATTAATAAGACTACTATGCATAAGTTTATAGAAATACATGTGATATAAAATGTTTTTTTTTACAGATACGAATCAAATCAGTCCGTTGATATCTGAAAACAAAATTGGGCTTACCCAAATGAATCTGTATGCTGTAACGGAAATGTCTAAACGATATCCAAACGCTCAGCCGATTCTAGTGCTCACGCAGAGTGTAGATCTTCACAGAGACTGGATACGGGAGAAGTTCAATGTCCATACGTGGATCAAAGATAGTGTAGAAGATCTGTTGGTCGTTAAAAGAAGCAAACATCCAGAGGACATGGAGGTAGAAACTGCCAGTTGTATATTACATTTCGTCGAGGAAATTTTGGACGAGGTTTGTTGAGCATAATTTTCTACAAAATGCAATGTGTATCCTATAAAAATGGTAAATGTATGTATATTCATATCGTCAGATAATGCACCGTCTAGAATTTCCAAGTTATAGCATTAGTATAAAACCGCAAAATGGAGCGACGTCGACCAACGTAATATTAACGAGTAAAAAGATGTTACCGAAAGTCGTGATACAGAGGAGCGAATTAATATTGCGAGAAAAAGAATGCATCAAACCCAAGAAAACGAAGATTAATGGCGACCTTGTAAAATTCGATCGACTGCTCGCCGAAGAAAAACAAGCGAGAAAAGAATTAAAAGTAGAATGTACAATTTGAGTACAGAATTTTGAACACTCTATATCAATTAATATCTTTTTCTCAATAAACAGGTACTACTAGATGAGGATTCGAACATTATCATCGATGACAAAGAAACAAAACGTGAAATGCTTAGGTCGAGGATGTTGCGCCGTCGACATTCATTGATAAAAAACAGACTTAATGATTTCGATAATAGCGAGCTTAGTGAATCGGTATCTTCCGAAGAAGAAACGGAGATAGTATGTGCTTGAAATATCCCTTCCGAAATTTCTTTTGTTATTTTTCGTAGATATATAAAACATAGTTTTTACATTTACATAGGGATATATTCACTTGAGTAAAAACTTCTTATAAATGCGGAAAAATAAGAAAAAGTTGCTTAGAATTCGAAGAGAAACTATTAGTAGGAAATAACAATATTAGTAGTAACTATTAGTAGTAAATAACAGAATATAACTTTTATACGTAGCGTCAAGAAAAGATAATGCATAAAAAAGCGAGAGCATTAAAAAATACGTACGTTGAACTTGTTCTAAAAACTAGACAGATGTACTTGGATTATCATGAAAGTCATCCTGGCTTTTTTACGTCGGTGGTGAGTAATACTTTGTTCTTGCATATCAATCTTAATTACACAACTTTTACGTTGCTACTTTATGTTGCAGTTAGTTATGGATGATTATGCAGAAGCTTTTAACTCCTTAAGTGACTTAATTAATGAATTATATACAAGTCAATCTTATAGAAAACCAATTTTTTTGTCTGAAATAGAACATTTTAGACAGACAAAAATTTCCATCGCACTTGAAAATATCGTTAATGAAATTAGAGGGTCAGTATATGATATTCAGTATATGACATGTAAAACCTTAACTTAAGTTCGTTTATCACGAAGTAATATTTCTGTTACAGAAATTTGTCAACATCAAAACTACAACACAGTACAATATTAAAAATGTAGGAAAATATTTAGCCAAAATATCTAATAAATAGCTATATATAAATACTTATATTACATGAAATAAATTATATAAAATTTGTGTTTATCCACTTGTAAACATAAATTATTACACTACTATGTAGATATAAAAACTGTATGGTAAACTATACATTAGATCTATTCAGCTTGTGACATCAACAGCATAGAAAGGAAGAGATCAAGATGATAACTTAAAGTTATAGAAATACAATCAATAATAGCGTCGATATTTATGTATATATACCTGATATAATACATCTTATCCCATCTGTAATATTTCATCTATATCCGAATCCAAATCAGAATACTTTAATTCACTTTTATGCTGGGCAACAGTAAAATCTTTATCTTTCAGAGTTCGAGGAGCAGGTTGTGGAAGTATGTCTTTCGTCTTTGGACTCGTAACATTCAGCACAGGATTGTTCGAGATCGAACTCGAGAGGCTGATCGATTTCAATAAATGATTTTCCGTATTATAATTTGTTAGATCCTGTAAATTCATGTTGGATCGGAAAATCGTCTCAACCGATCCTGCAGGTGGCTTTCTTGCAATGCTCAGCTGGAAAATATTTTATATAACAACGTTACACACAACAATATATTAATTTTTAATTTTACATAGAAGATGGTACATGTGTAATCTCACCTGTTCTTGTATCTTCTTTGATATTTCCGCGATTTTATCGCTTTGCGAAGTTTTTAAAACAATGTTGCTCGTACTCATGGATTTCTCCTTCTGCAATTCATATTCTTCTCTCTCAGGAGAACTGAATAAGAAAGCAATGAATTAGTTACATATATTTGAAAGTATATGAATTTTTAAATAATGTAAAAAAAATCTAAAAACAAAGATAATAATAAAATCGTTAGTACCTCGAAATATTCCAATCATTACTGCTCTTTCTCTGGTCGTTTTCTGGCATCGTTGTATCTTCTTTTCTATCATCCAAGTCGAATAAAACTTTTTTCTTTACCAAACTACCGACTGAACCACTCATTGGTTTCAGAACACTTTTACTGTTCTTCGGAGATAGAATTGAATCGTCTTGTTGAATGACTGTACTATCAGAATCGTTATTACTCAAAAATTTCAATGGTATCTGTTTCCTGCCAATCGGAGAACTTATTTTACGTGCACTGGTATCAGATACAGTTATCTTTGTAGACGAAATTTGTTTTATATCCTCTTGAGGAGATTCAATAGAACTCACAGAGGAATAATTTCGAATTAATTTTGGATTTGTGGAAATCACTTTCGAGCTAGTATAAACATCTGCTCCATTTTTCGTTAACGGTTCGCGCGTATTCTCATATGTTTCATTATCTTTATATCTCTTAGGAAGAAGCTCAATCTTCTGTTTCAGATGCAATTTCGAGGGCGTTGTGTTTTCCGTTTTCTGAACAGATGTATATTCATCTAAAAAAAAAAAAAAACAAGTACATTAACTTCCTGTGTATCAAACATTTTATTTAGTAAATGTATAATATAGTTACCGCTGTCTTTATGATTGCTGAATGCTTTCCAAGCCTTTGATTTGACCTGAGTAACTGGTTTGTTTAATGGAGAATTTTTCGCAGGCGTAGAACATTTTGATTCCTTATGATTTGCCGATATTCTTTGAAGAACATCTTCGAGTATTTTTTGTTTTATTTGATTGTACCGAAGTAGCCTCTTTGCATTAATATTTTGTTGATGCTTTATAATCTCCATCTTTTGCTTAAACGTTGCTGCAGGTATTCCCTGCCATTCTGGATCAATTCCTAAATCTCTCAGTCGGTTATCCAACATGGTTTGTGCATCTTCTTGTATTGACATCTTTCTGATATTGAGAGATTTAACTGTAGACGTTTCATATTTTCTCACTGTAATATCATCATCTGTTATCATACTTTCACTACTGGATCTTGATTCTGACATCAATGACGAAGATTCAGACTCTGTCATAGAACTTACACTATGTTTTCCCAAGAACTCAGATTTCTTATTATTTCTCATATCATTGGAATGCAATGTTCTTTCCTTTTCAATATTTGTGATATCTAAATATTTTTTATTTACATTAACAGGAATGTTTTGTTTGGTAGTAAAGCTCTTGCTTGTACAATCAATTATTTTATTTACATCATTTAATGTATCGTGCTTTGCTTTATTTTTTAATTTTCTAACCACTTCTGCTCTCTCTGTACTTTTCAGATTGGATTTTACAGTATGATCTGCAATTCTGCTCAGATCAGTGCTAAGCCTTTTATTATCCTTACTTTTTATTGAGTTATTTTTATTAAGCACATAATTGCTTTGTGATGTAATTGATATTGGTTTGGTTCTGTATTCTTGACTAGATTCACTACCAATGTCTTCAATGATTATATCGGTATTTCCAATATTGTTTGAACTCTTGCAATGAGTTTCGGCATCTATATAATTGCTGTCGCGTTTTGTTTTTAATAAAGGAGATTTATGAAATTCTTCTATCATGTTTTTTTCTCTAGTTCTACAGATGTTCTGTGTTTGTGAATTACTGATTTCAAGCGACAAACTATTTAGTTGCTTCCTTTGTTCCACCAACATATTAGATTGATCCATAGATTGTTTTTCTAAGTCATGTACCTTAGATGTATATTCAGACTTCACATGATCAGCTATTTGCTGAGTTACTTTCAGTTCTGTAGTCAATCTTTCGATATCCCGGCGATGTTGAGTTTCCATGTCTTCTATTTTGGCTTTCCAATAATTCTCTTGAGTTTGCAGTTTAACTTGCATATTTTCCATGCCTGGAGTCAACTAAAAAGAATGATATAATTACATTATTTGAGAAAAGATAATGGAAGAGATTTTTAATATGTAATATCAATAAAAAGACTTCTTTCATACTCTTTCAAGAAGTTGATTTCTTAAACTATCAATCTCCTTTTCTTGTTGACTAATTAGAGTTTTTATATTTGTTTCTAAAATATTTTCATTTACAACATGATCCTTTTCTCTTAGTGCCTGTAAAGTCATTATTTTGTAAAAAAGAAATATTTTATAAAAAAAAATTAAGTTATTTATTAATTGTTAACTTACACGTATCTCATCAAACAGCATATTTTTCAAACTTCCTATATCTTCTTGATATCTTCTTTGCTCTTGAAGCCTATCTAATTTACTGATATCATATTCATTTTTACTCATATTTTTCGTGTAGTCTTTTTCTGTGTTATCCAGCAGTTTGTCAGACTCGTTTCTTATTACTCTTTCAGTTTGATTCAGTCTTTCCTTCAATGTTTTTATCTCATTGTGCAATTTCTCCGTTTCTACTCGATAATGTTCATGGACAGGTGAAGCAGCTATACTCATATCTGAGGTATATGAATGTTTGCGTGCTATATGAGCATTTACAAATATAGCACGTACAAATGTTTTTGGACAATGAGGACACTATAAAGTAAACAAATCAATCTTAAGAATATCAACTTATAATTAATTGAATTGATTTTGAGTATACTCTTATATATAATATAATAAATAACACTTTAGACATATAAAAATAACATTTTATACCTTAAAAATTTCTCCATTAGAAATTTCACCAACATTAGCTTCAATTAATTTACGTTTTTCCTTTGACCTATCCTTCAAACTCTTTATAGTGTCTTCCAATGTAGCAATTTCTTTTTTCATACTAACATTTTGTTCTATTTTCTGTCGTAATTCATCTTTCAGAATTATTACACTATGATCTAAATACTGTTTACAATATAATAAATACTCGACAGATAGTTGTGCAAGTCTGAATAATTTAACAAAATTAGAATCTAAGATCTTAACATCATACTCGCTTTCCAAGGAATAATCTATTACATTGTTAATGTTTTCATCGATAGTAGAGAAATCTCTCTCACGTATAAGTCTATCAATGTCTATAGCACCTGTAAAAAAAAAAAAGATAAATTGTCAGTAATTTGTAACAATAAACTCGACATTAAGTAACAATATAAGTTGAGTAATATCTTCATACTTATGCGATTCCAATCAACTCGTACTCTAGATCCATGCATGTTGAAGTAAAATCCTGACTCTCTGGCGAGTTTTGGAAAATCGTGGCACCAATTGGTGCCGGCTCTAAATGAGAATGCCATTGTATCTTGACAGATTTATTTACATAACGTGACATATACAAGGAAAGATCTTACTTCACCGCGTTCACATAAATATTCGTTGCTACATATTTGTGAGAAATTTCCATTGATAAGCATGATTATTTATTAATATTGTTTTGCACATTATTTACAATTACAATTTAACGTGATACATTGTAATAATGTGATAAATGACAAGTGTCAAACTCGATGTAAATTGATGTAAATATAAACAAAGATTAGCGTCTGCTAAACAAGCGCCATCTACGAAGGTTTCAAGCGCCATTTAAGCACCTAACTTATTTCGCGGTTAAATTCAAAAGGAGTATAAATTTTTTAACAATATTTATCAATGTGCAAACAATATATCCTAAATTTAAGAATTATAGTACATTCTCATTTCAATAAATTATAAATTATTTTACTTTAACAAAGATATATTGTTCCCTTTTCTTTCTAAACGTATATATATTTAAGCAATATATATACTCTTACATATTTTTTCCACATATTTTTAAACATGAAAGTAGAATATATATCGCTTCTAAAAATAACTTGTTTTAGAGATGAGATAAATATATATATATATAGACTGCGATATATGATATGTACATGATATTAAATTAAATATATATGTATCTGATATATAACATAAATTACGTATCCATAGCGCGGACATTTATCGGTATTAAACATATATGTATTTAATGCATATAATTTATATGTATTGCTATATATCTGCTATATAGCAACATTTCAAATTTTATCTATATCTGCTATATATGTATCTGAAATCTAAAATGACGTATGATTATATAATTTCTGTAGGCAGTTTTAGACAAGCATTCCAATTGTGTCGTTCAGTATCAATAATTATCCCCTCTCGTGCGTTTTTTGATCGCTTCGTAATTCTATAGCGGACAAAACGACTTGCCAAATCATTCCGTCTTACACAATACATACAGGACTATCCCATCCGGGTGGGTGTAATCATACTATATATAAAGTTCGTGTGTTTGCATATGTATAGTATGATATAAAATGAAAGCACGTGTCATTCACAAGGCAGAGTCGAATGAAAGTGGCATTAATGCGTCTGATAAAACGCATGATTTAACGATGCGATATAGTCGGATACAGCGGCGTGAATAAAATACATTCGTGATACTTGATTATTATTCGTGTTTATTGCTTCATCGTCGAAATATGTCCGCCACCAAGAAATTTGATAATCCGAATCCGCGGATGTCCGCAACTCCAGTCAGTAAATTGTTCTTCTGGTGAGTCGAAAAAGGAACAATAATTGAATCAATTAAATCGACCGCGTGATTCTTATCATGCACAAATATATATATATATATATATATACACACATATATATACATCGTATTTATATATAAAATATATGAAGAACATTGTCTTAAAATTAGGATTATGAAACAAAAGGATGACAATTATGCAATTGTTAGAAACAATATGCGTTGAAGCTTCATAATGTGATTAATACAGTTATAAGGCCCGGTATATTTTAATTAAGAGTTGGGACGCTTTAATCAAAAGCTATATCAGCTATGCATGAATCAGATATCTGATTATAGGCACACTGTACTTATATACATTATATCACCTTATGCAATTACATACATAATGAATAATCAAATTTGTTGAAAATAGTATCTTAAAAAAATTAAACAAAATAAAATTAATTAAATTAAATTTTTTGTCTGTTAATTATTTATTTTGTTTATCGAGATATACTATTTCGGTACAATATCAAGAAAAATGTAGCAAACATTTTGTAAAATGAAATCGAGGAAGTATCAATGAATAAATGAAATATCAACCAAGATAGCGCAGCAAATTCAAAAAAAATTTATCAAATACGTATCAAATATGTATTTGAAAAAGGACTCAAAATTGGTGACATACAACTGAATTCTTTTTGAGTTCGCTGTGCTATCTGGGAAGGCATTACTGTTTGATAATAAAATTCTGCCATAAAAATTCTTTATTATGTTTGCAAATTGTTAGCACAATTTTTAGTATATGTCAGTATAATATAATTCCAAGTTGCGAATGTAATTAACATTATTTGCTGTAATTTCTGTTAAAAACTTATATTTATTGGAATATTTGGCATAATTAAAACAACAATTAGGCCAAGTAGCATAATATTTAACTTATCTTGATTTATCTGTGGCAAATGTAATTTTTTTTTTTTTACTCTTGACCGTGAGTTTTATTAGCTCTTAAACTGATAACAAAATAGACATTGACGATACAAAACCATTGGTTATCATTCTAACTGCATAGTGTACATTTGCTATCTCACAAAGTCTGTGTACATACATAAGCATACATTTTTCTGACATATGTGGATATATCACACTAATTATTTTCTTCTATAACATTGTAATGTATATATGCATATATGCTTTGCCATAAATACATATTTATACTTTATTCTACTTAATCCAGTTCATTTTCTTGTAAATTTTATCTATAATTTTTTATGTCATATTTCAGCTGGTTGGTGAAATTATTCTGGTATGGAAAGGATCATGATTTGGAGATGAAAAATATATACAATACACTGCCTGCTGATACGAGTGAACTTCTGGGAAACAAATTAGAAGAGTAAGATAAATTATTTTATTAAAATAAATTTATAAATAGATATTATTACACAATCAATATGTGATGAATTTAATATTCATAAAATTAATATTTTTAAATATTTTTGTTACTTTTTGATATAAATAAATGCTTTTAGATATTGGAGAAATGAAATACGCATAGCTGAAAAAAGTGGTAGAAAACCAAAATTTTTCACAGTTTTAAGGCAAACATTTATGTTGTCATTTCTCTATTATGGAGGATGGATTTTATTAATGAGCAGTGTTTTAAGGTAATTATAACAACAATAATTAGTATGTCTAACTGTATTTGTTATTATAAAATTAAAAATATTGTTTTTATAGAGTTTTGCAACCATATATTTTGGGTCTGCTCATTTGGCACTTTGATCCAAGAGCAACATCTACTCAAGAAGAGGCGTATCTCTATGCATCTGGTGTAATAATCATAGGAATAGTGATAATATTAATCAACCACCATTCCAATATAGGCTTAATGGAGATTGGAATGAGAGTGAGAATAGCAAGTTCCTCTCTTATGTACAGAAAGGTAATCTAATTAACAAATTAAAATTAAAGTTTCTTTTTATTTTATTTTGAGACATTTTTGTTTTGTCCAAGAAAATCTTATATAATTATATTCTTTTTTTCCTTTAGATATTATGTTTATCAAAATCTTCTACTACCACTCCAGGACAAATTATTAATCTGTTGTCAAATGATATGTCAAGATTTGATCAGCTATTTATGTTTCTACATTACATTTGGATTATGCCTATACAAGGTGCTGCAATTACATATTTGATATGGCGAAGTGTCGGTATTGCTTCATTGGCTGGTATATTTTTGATAACAATTCAAACTATTCCACTTCAAGGTATAATTTTTATTTAAAATGTTAAAATTATAAAAAAACACATGAATGTAATGTACAACTAAGTTTGTGTACTTTGCAGGATATATAAGTAAGTTGACTTCAAAGTTGCGTTTGAAAAGTGCAGTGAGAACTGATGAGAGGGTTCGTTTGATGTCTGAAATAGTCAGTGGTATAGAAGTTATCAAAATGTACACTTGGGAAAAACCATTTCAGGAGCTAGTTAATTGCATAAGAAAGTTTGTACATATTTCTCTCAGTTTCATTATCATAATAGAGAAATTTTTAATATAATAAGCGCATTATTTTATAGATACGAAATTGATGTTCTTACATTAATGTCATATCTAAGAGGTTTCACTTTGGCCACGTTTGTCTTTACGGAAAGAACAACATTATATTTCACTGTAATGGCTTATGTATTATTTGGACACTCGATATCTGCAGATAAAGTATTCTCAATGGCACAGTACTTTAACATTCTTCAGCTCACTATGGCAATATTGTATCCTCTAGCTGTAATATCTCTTGCAGAAGCAGCTGTGTCTATGAAGAGAATCGAAGTAAGATAAACTTATCAAATTATGATAAAACATATTAAACACTACATAAAGATATTAATTATATTTATTATCTATTAATTATATGTATCTTATAAATATGATACATTTCAATACAAATATTAGCTGCAAATATTAATGAAATGATAATTTTATAAGATAATTATATTTTTAAATAAGAATGTATCAATATTTCCATATTTGTCTTAATGCAACAGGTTACATAAATTATTAATAGATAATCTTTTTCAATAGAACTTCCTCTTATTAAATGAAAACAATCCATCGATACAATCACTATCAGCTTCTAAAGGAATGAGTATCTTAATGAAAGACGTTAATGCTTCATGGACAACTAATGCAATTGTGAATACATTACATGATATTAATATTCAAATTGGAACTGGAAAACTTTATGTTATTGTTGGTCCTGTAGGTGCAGGAAAGGTATATATTTTATATATATATATACATATATAATACATACATATATATATATATATATATATATATATATATATATATATAATAAAAATAGATACAAAAACTATGAGAAAACTTTTTAACATTATTTTAAAAACGTCTAATTTTCAGAGTTCCTTCCTGCAAGCGATTTTAGGCGAACTGAAACCATCACATGGTCAGATACATGTAAGTGGTAAAATATCATACGCTAGTCAAGAACCATGGCTTTTTGCAGGCACAGTCCAAAGTAATATTTTATTTGATCAACCTTATGATAAAGATAAATATCAAAGAGTTGTAAAGGCATGTGCTCTTCTGAGAGATTTTGAGCAACTTCCATATGGTGATAAGACCTTAGTCAGTGATAGGGGTACAGTACTTAGTGGCGGGCAACGTGCAAGAATTAATTTGGCAAGGTAAATTTGCATTCACTTATAAACAATATATATTTTATTTTCTAATAAAATTTTCTATTCTTATAGAGCCGTTTATAGAGACACTGATATTTATCTGTTTGATGATCCTCTATCAGCTGTTGATACTCATGTTGGCAGACACTTGTTTGATGAATGCATGAATAATTATTTACAAAATAAAACGAGAATTCTCGTGACTCATCAATTACAATACTTAAAACAATGCGATTATATTATTATTTTGAATAATGTACGTATACATATATTGTTATATATACACGCATATTATATGCATATACATGCACACATAATCGTCATTATTATTATCATAAATGTACAAAATGAGTTAAATTTGTTATTTTTTTTACAAAGGGTCAAATTGAAAATGAAGGCACATTTTTGACTCTTCAAGAAAAAAATGCAAACTTTTTAGAAACTTTATCAAAAGAGGAAGAAGTTAACGAAGAGACGAAAGAATTATTAGAAAATGATACAAATCCTGCATCTGATGTAACACAAAATATTAAAATTACTAACAATGAAGAAATAGACGAGGCTGAACCTGAAGAAACCGAAGAACTTCTGGCCAAAGGAAGTTTACCAAAATCGCTTTACTGGAAATATATTCATAGCGGCGCGTCAATCATTATGATTATTATCTTTCTAATTTGCATGATTTTGGGACAACTTGGAAGTAGTGGTTGTGACTACTGGGTCGGTTATTGGTAAGTTTCTATGTCTATCCTATCCTTGCGCGAATATTTAATAAGTTTTATAATACAGGACGAAACAGGAAGAAATGCGTATCAAGGCTATGCAAAGCAACAATTTTACAACTTCCTCTTTTGCACCTGGAGAGAGATTTATTAGACAAATAAACAATACCTTGGAGACGATGTCGAATGTTTCAATAACCACAGATAATTGGGAAGATCAAATCAATGATACTGCATTGTCGCAAAACTTTACTGCCGATAATACTGTTAGTATTTCGTCTTTCTATGATGTTTCCAGTTTTACAGCGTTTATAAGTCTCTTTTGCTATTTCACCTAGACCGAAATTATAGATATGGATTTTTCCTATCTCGACACGAATACAGCTTTATGGATTTACGGAGGTTTTATCATTGTCAGTGTTATAATGACAACATGTCGAAATCTGATTTTTTATCAAATATGCATGAACGCCAGTAAGAATTTGCATAACTTCATGTTCTCGTGTTTACTCAAGGCACCCATGTCATTCTTTGATAATAACCCATCGGGTAAGCACATGTTTAATTAATGATAATAATTATTGACTTATGTGATCTTAACACTCGACTTTTTTAAAATTAATTTTTTAATACACAAAATAATAACATTTCGTTTGCAGTTTGCAGCAATAATTTTATTTGTAGTTTTATCAATTAAAAAAATCAAAATTTTTTTAATGACTCGCATTCGACATTGACATATTTTAAATCTGCTTGCGCAATCTTCTTTAGAATCGCTTATAATTATATGTAATTATTTTCCTGTCATTTGTAGTTGAATAGTTTAGAATTTACAACGTATTTATAATATGTTAATTTGTCAATTTTTAAGATATCTCGAATCTGATTGCACAGTTTTTCTTAGAATTGTTTGTAGTGCGGATTCGTGATATTTTAAAAATCGACCAAATGTTATTTATTGTAAATCCTAAATTATTCAACTATAAATGAAAGGAAAATCTAAACTACAAACTAGTCATTTTTAAAATTTTTTTAATTGACAAAACTAAATGCTATCATTTTTTGTATTAAAAAATTAATTTTTAAAAATTGTCAGATGTGCTAAATTTACATAGTTTAATTAATTATCAACATATATATTGTGATTACGCAATTATGCAACAATACAAGAATCACATATTTTTAGGTCGAATTTTAAATCGGTTCTCGAAGGATATTGGCGCTGTGGACGAAATTTTACCTAGGACCATGATAGAAACAATTCAAATTTTCGCAGTAATGATTGGAATTCTAATACAAATATTTATTATCAATTGGTGGCTGATATTCCCTACAATCATTATGAGTATTTTGTACAATGAGATAAGGAAGATTTACGTTCCAACAGCACAGAATATCAAACGATTAGAAGGAAATGGTAAGAGCTTCCTTTTCTTTTTTTAGAAAAATATAAAATCCATAATTTTCGTATTTCCTCTAAACTGATATTTATTTAATTAAATTTTCAGCAAAAAGTCCCGTTTTCTCGCATGTTAACTCCACATTGTCAGGTTTGACGACGATACGTTCGGCCGATGCTCAGGAAATGGTTCGCAAACAGTTCGACGAACACCAAGATTTACACACTAGTACTTACTCGCTAATTATCGCAACTGGTACAATGTTCGGTTTTGCGTTAGACATAGTGACTATTGGTTTCATCGCTCTCGTTACATATAGTTTCGTCGCGTTAGACGATGGTAAATCTTTGTCGCAACTACTAACTAATGCATATGTATATTCAGTATATAATATTTAGGAATTGGTTTTTTAATTAAGCTTCTTTCTTTCTCAGGAAATACTTTCGCCGGAAATGTCGGTTTAGCAATTTCACAAGTACTTATTTTATGCGGTATGGTGCAATATGGGATACGTCAAACAGCCGAAACGATCACGCAGATGACAAGCGTGGAAAGAGTATTGCAATTCACCGAACTCGAGAAAGAGGGCCCATTCGAAAGTAATCCTACGGATAAACCATCGAATGATTGGCCTGCCAAGGGAGAGATTAAATTCGATTGTGTTTCTCTTCGATATGTCGAATCAAAGCCGCCCGTACTTAAATCTTTGAATTTTATCATAGAACCTGGCATGAAAGTACGCAATTATTTGTTACACAAATTATAATCTTATTTATATATACAATATTTTTCTCAAATTATTCTAAGTAATTTAATTCTAAATAATTATAAATTCAGGTCGGAATAGTGGGTCGCACTGGAGCTGGGAAATCTTCTCTGATCGCCGCTTTGTTCCATATGGCGAAATTCGACGGTGCTATTTACATCGATAAAGTTGACACGAAGAAAATTGGTCTTCATGATTTAAGAAACAAGATCTCGATAATACCGCAGGAACCAATGTTATTCTCCGCTACATTAAGAGATAATCTCGATCCGTTTCATAAATTTAACGATGCCGATCTATGGAGTGCCTTGGAAGAGGTGGAATTGAAAGATACAATGACCTCCTTGGACCATTCCATCGAACAGGGCGGTGTTAACTTAAGCGCCGGTCAACGACAATTGATTTGTCTGGCACGCGCGATTTTACAAGATAATAAAATTTTCGTACTTGATGAAGCCACCGCAAATGTCGATCCTGCGACGGACACGCTGATACAAACGACGATCCGGAAGAAGTTCAAAACCTGCACGGTACTAACAATAGCGCATAGATTGAACACTATAATGGACAGCGATAAAGTGTTGATAATGGATCATGGTCAAATGCTAGAATTCGATCACCCATATGTTCTATTACAAAATGAAAAGGGTCATTTTAGCAGCATGGTACAAGAAACTGGAAAACTAATGGCTGAACAACTTAAACAGACTGCCAAAATGGTAAATTGCTAGATTAATAATAGTTGCTACATTACACGATATTGTTCTATTATCGTGATTGAATGTAATTAAAGATATTAATGCATGGTATTTCTTTTACAGGCTTATGAGCAACAGCACACATAATTTCTTGTGAAAATATAACAAGAACATTTCTTTGATAAAAACAAAAAATATATTCATGTATTTTTGTACTTAGTTTTTTGATCCAAAGCATTTTTTATTTTAATCTTTAATGTTAGTATTTTAATCTTTAATAACTCAGTAGATCCATTTAAAAATATTAGAACGTTTTAAATGTCTGTACTTATATTTTTTATACATATTTATATATAGTCTGAAAGTGTGATAATTCATAAAGAAGTGCACTTATTACTTTTTCTGTTTACAAGAAAATTTTTATTGTATATTATATAATATCAAAATTGAAGGAAAGATCTCAATAATATCAATATTATTTATTAACCACTGTAACCACTCTAAGTATTGCAAGAGTTTAAATTCTTCCTAGATATTATAGTAGTCAGTATTAATCATGATTATGTATATGGAATTATAATTTTATCATTTGTTAATATAATAATACTGCATAATATCAAATAATTATGCTAAATTTTAATTAAGAAACGAAAGATTGTATATTTCTAATTCTAGTACTTTACATATAGTTTCTTGTCTCTCTCTTAAACTTAATGTGGTTAATATAAATTTTGATATTATATATATTATGTGACAATAAAATACAGAAGAGCTTATATATGCATTGAAATTTTATATTATATATAAATACACAAATATATATTCTCTACAAAAGAGAGAAATATCACAACCTTTATCTTTTGACCTTTCCTCTTTGATTTAAAATGTCTTTTCATACGCAGAATACTGCAGCAGCAAATCAATCACGTGATCAAAATTTATTAGAGCATATTTTTGTTCTTAAAATTCATTATTTAACTAATAAAATAAGTAGAGAATCAACTAGTTGCGTGTTCTTCTGCTTTGCTGTTTGTTCAATTGAACTTCATTAATAGCAACAAACTACTGTAGCAGCGTGCTGCACATGAAATGGTACCTTAAGAATATCAAATCAACTGCACCACACCAGATTTAACCAAGTGTGCTATAGCACTGTATTGAATGATGTGCTGCGAACCTTCCTCAAAGTCTATTTCCTCATTCAGAGTTCCAGGTACAATTATACCCGTAACTCTTTGATTGGCACGCAGGAACACGTGTGCTTGCATATTGGGTTTAACGGTGAGCTTGTTTACCTCGAATCGCTGGAAGTTAGGTGGCATATGCTGCAACGCCACCGTCTTGAACAGCGTCTCCAAATTGGCCAGGTGTTCCTTGGCGAAGCGCAGCTCGCCTGGTGTCAAATAGAAGCCCTCGTCCGAGTTTCTGCTCGCTTCCTCCGACAAGATGTGGATCGTATACCGTTCAATCTTCTCTAAGCGTATTCGCAGATAGCTGCTGACGACGTATCTGATCCGGTCGAGCTCCATCCGATGGGCCAGGGCACGTAAATCGCTCTTGTCTAACCTCTTGACGTTCTTCTCCATGTGATCGATCTGCTGCAGCATGCAGTCCACCAGGTCGGACTGATGAGGCAGGATCTCCGGCGCAAATCTCTCGTTCATCCAGGCGTTCTCGATTTTCTGGAGCGCCGTCTGAGCTGTCAACTCGCCCTCTCCGTTGTCCTCCAACAAACTCTCGTCACCGAGACTGTCTTCCATGGCTATCGAGAAATAATACCCGTTAAAAATGCTCTAATATATCGTTTTGTTAGATGTTTGAATTTGTTATTACGTACCTGACTTATTGCTTTTCTTCGAGATTTGTTTATGATATAAATCATCACGACGCTATCGTTGATCCATCGCATACGATAAAGGCGCGCAAACCGATAAATTCTCTGGCCATTTTGAATATAATCTTCGAATTTCCCACGAGATCACGTGGATCTCGAACTCGTGACTATCGATTTATATATCGATCGAATATTTGAATTTAATTGTGCACGCACTACGTGCAATAAATAAAATAGAATTATTTATTTTTAAATAAATAATCCATATATATATATATATATAAATATATTATACATTTTACTTTTCTTTATATACTTATGTACACATGTAGATGTTGCATATATTTCTAATTTATTTTCAAAACTAAAATATATAATTTGTAAAATTTATAATTATAATTAAAAGATACATATAATATGTATAATTATATATGTAATATATATAATTATATATATAATAATATATATATTAAATTATATATGTAATTGTAATAAGGATTTATAATTATAATTAACAACATTTTTTAGATGAAAATAATTATAATTGCGAATTCTTTGATAATAATTTAAAAAATGCCAAGATATAACAAAATTTTTACAAATTTGAATTTTGATCAATTAATCAAAATGCAGCACGTGCCGCCTTCTTCACGTTCTATTCTTGCTCAACCTTCGTAAGGTTTCTGTGTACGAAGCTCAAGGTACTCTCAAGGTATTCCCAAATCCTGTGTAATTTAATAGAAAACTTCTTAAGACTGTTTGGCGACTTAAAGAAAGACGCTCTATATAGTACAACAAAGACGTAAATTCGTGATGAGTATTTAAGCGCGGCTCAACGTCATAGCGAACCCCGAGCCGCATCTCCGACAGTTAAACGAACAGGGAACTCTTCCCGCGAGTTTCACGGAAGACGTTACCGGGAGCCCACGACCGGCAATAGCAATCAGCGTTTGGATTAGTTCGTTCACCACGACGATTTTTTCCAAATAAAACGCAAACGCAGGTGAACCACCTAACATCCATTCGCGTACACGCATCTTAGATCTCTATTATTCTATATACATGTATTTATCTCGGCATTATTATCTATATTTACAAGAATCTATTCTATTCCCTCATAATATTCTAATAAGACTCTCAAATTTTTTCTTATATTATAGATATCCTTGTTATTCTATGGCGCGTTTTAATTATCAAGCAAAAGTATTATATATTACATTCCAAGTAGCAAATAACGTCATTCGACATCAAAATGACGTATGCTTACTACCTGGGACGTCTTTCAAGAACAATTAATCGAGATTGTGATACTCTCGCAGTTGACCATGCATTCTATCGCATCCGGACCGAGCCATGCAGCCTACACGTGGGCGGCGCAAGGAGGCGGATTTGGTAACCAAACAGTGGTGGACAAAGTGCCACCGGAGATGCTTCATCTGGTCGATGCTCACTGGTACCAATTCCCACCGATGAACCCTCTATGGCACGCGCTCCTCGGCTTTGCCATCGGCGTCCTCGGCGCAATATCCATCATCGGTAACGGCATGGTGGTATATATATTCACCACTACTAAGAACCTCCGTACTCCAAGCAATCTGCTCGTCATCAATCTCGCTATCTCGGATTTCCTTATGATGCTCTGCATGTCTCCGGCTATGGTGTGTATATTTGTTTCACAACTATTTCCGCGAATAAAGTGTCCAGAAGAGAAAGCGTGATGATTCATTAAATCGTTTTTAATTAACGATTTGTGCAGGTGATTAATTGCTATTACGAGACGTGGGTGCTAGGACCCCTGATCTGTGAACTATACGCTTTGGCGGGCTCCCTGTTCGGATGTGGCTCCATATGGTCGATGACGATGATCGCATTCGATAGGTATAACGTAATCGTCAAAGGTTTATCCGCTAAGCCAATGACCATTAACGGCGCCCTCCTTCGCATACTCGGCATTTGGGCCTTCTCCCTAGGTTGGACACTCGCACCCATGTTTGGATGGAACCGGTATATAGGACAAAAATCCTAAACCATAATACTACGTATTATTTAAGAATATATGAATTATCGGTAATAAAATACTCGTCTTTTACAGCTACGTACCTGAGGGCAACATGACCGCCTGCGGTACCGATTACTTGACCAAAGACCTGCTCTCCAGATCGTATATCCTGGTCTACAGCATCTTTGTCTACTTCATGCCGCTGTTCCTCATCATCTACAGTTACTTCTTCATCATCCAGGCCGTCGCAGCGCACGAGAAGAACATGCGCGAGCAAGCAAAGAAGATGAACGTTGCTTCCTTGCGATCGGCTGAGAACCAGAACACCAGCGCCGAATGCAAATTGGCGAAGGCAAGCTCCTTGCACTTAATCCGTTAATTTTCACTATGTGCGACAAAAATAATAATGCCCTAATATTTATACAGGTAGCTCTGATGACCATTTCCCTATGGTTCATGGCGTGGACTCCATATCTGGTTATCAATTACGCAGGTATCTTCGAGACAGCCAAGATCACCCCGCTTTTCACGATCTGGGGTTCTGTCTTTGCAAAAGCCAATGCTGTATACAATCCCATCGTATACGGCATCAGGTAAATCGGTAGTTCTAAATTCCTGAAATATATAATAGCTTCATCAAAATATTTTTAATAATTAGAAAGAAAATACAAGAAATTAAATAAATTATCCCATACTTTTACACTAATCTTTTCTCTGTCTGATTTTAGTCATCCCAAGTACCGAGCTGCTCTCTTCCAGAGATTCCCGTCCTTGGCGTGTAGCTCTAGTGAATCAGGTGGTGACACAATGTCCACGACTACCACGGTTACGGATAGTGAAAAGCCTGCCGCATAAAATGATGACGCTACGTATATATCAATACTTTCTTTCTTGACAATGCAATAGATTTTCGCTAAATCGGCGCAAGGCCAAATGAGAAATAGTATTACATTCTCGTTACAAAAAAAAAAATCACGCCACATCAAGCATGAATTGTAAATAGCTGCAATAAATAATATAACGTGCGTCAGAAATACTGTGATAGGCGAGAATGCATTAGATACTATATAAAAGAAATATCATGTACGATTAACTGTGGTTTGAATGGATAATCATCTGAGCGAAGCCAAGACGGAGTGCGTAAAAAAGAACTTTAACGTCAGAAAAATCGAGGGCTAAACAATCCAAACTGTTTGAGTTTATGATACATTATACGGTTCGGCTGCACCACGATGCGAATTTCTTATGTCTCATAACGAAATTTAAATAATTCTGTGTCATATCTCTTCCAAGCAAAAATGAAATGCATAATTATTTTGGAATTAGTAAATATATTGGCTGTATAAGAGTGTTAAATCGTTATGAGATATATGTCGTATCTGTAATTAATTTTATAGAACTAAATAAATATACTGCAAAGGCAATCATACATATGGCAGTTTTAATTAAACACTTGCAAAGATTTTAAAAATCCTGAACATAAATATCTATAGTTCTTATAATTGTGTGTTTAACACATATTTAGTATTTTTTATTAAATCTCAAGATCACAATAAGGAGTCTTCTCAAATCATTACATGCCAAACAATTTATTAACTGATATTCGTTTGCAATACTACAATCAACACTAAGTGCTTTCTATTATTCTCAGTTTTGCACAGGGAAAATAATAAAGACAAATTCAAAATGAGAATTCGTTATGTGTACAACATATCATAAAATATAACAAAGTTGGTCCACTCGAAATTCCGTGTACGTAATAGCTTTTTGCATAATTGGCTATCTGTAACAGCTATATTAAAGCTTTACAAATTACAAATTTTCTTCATTTCTTAGAAACATTTAATTAATATTATTAATTCATCAACCAATTCGAGAGAAATATCCTCTAACTTTTTGTTATATCACATATTTAGAATTAAAGATGCAATCCATCGCACGAAATTACGCTGCCGTTGTGGATGACGTTGTGTCTCCAGCAGGTTTCGCAGATGGATCCTCAGTCGAGCCACATACGCAGAACGGTAATTTTTCTTTTAACGCTGCTCTATATTTTGGATGACTGAGTAAAACAATAACGCGTGAAATTAAGTATAAGCATTAATTGCGTCTATTTAAAAACATAATTAACTCACCTAATTCCATAAACAATCGGATTATATATAGCGTTCGCCTTTGCAAACAGAGATCCCCAAATGGTGCTAAGAGGACTAATAGTAGCACCACCGAAAATGCCTGTATAATTAATGACCAGATACGGTGTCCATGCCATAAACCACAAAGAGATAGTCATCAAAGCCACCTGTAATTAATGAAGTAAATATTAATCCTGTGTGTAATTTTTTTCTATAATATTCAGCATGATAAATGTATTCTTTCGTCATACCTTTGCCAATTTTGCTTCTGCACTGATATTTTGATTATCCCCAGATCTCAAAGACTGTATATTCATTTTCTTCGCCTGTTCCCTCATTGATTTTTCATGAGCAGCTACTGTCTGTCAATTTTCGAGATTTACAGATATCAAATCTTTCTTCTAACATTGCAATTTACACAGATAGATGTGTGCTTACCGAAACGATAAAGTAATAGCTGTAAATTATAGTAAAGAGCGGCATGTAGTATACAAATATCGAATACACCAGAATATATGACTTAGAGATCCAATCCTTAGTGAGGTAATCGGTACCGCAGGCGGTCATGTTGCCTTCTGGCACATACCTAGTTATCACGCCAGAGAAATTTATTTCGTGCACAAGCACAATATATTCTTTTTTTATATGCATAATTTTCTTATCATGTTATTACCTGTTCCATCCCACCATCGGCATAACTGTCCATAATGCAGCAAAGAGCCAGATTAACAAAATTTCAAGTAGCGCTTTCTTAATAGTAAGCGGTTTTCCTGCCATACCCTGGAAGGATATTTATTAGTTACCACATTTCTTACACAGATTTATTATATCAATATAAAAAGAAAAATTACGTACCTTTACTATAACATTATATCGATCAAGAGCAATAGCAGTCATAGTCCATATCGAGGCACATCCGCATAAAGAGCCAACCATGGCATATATGTCGCACATTAATACTCCTTGAATGAATAAATATATATTTATATTAAAAGTTATATATTAAATTTAATAGGAAAAAACATTTATATAATAAAAAGACCAGTAAACACAATATTTTCTATTACCTAATATCCAGGTCTCATAGTAACAGTTGATCACCATAGGAGGTGACATAATTATCATCATGATGAAATCGGAAAAAGCGAGATTTACCACCAGAAGATTGCTCGGTGTTCTTAAAGAGGGTGTCATCATAAACACATACACTACTACACCATTTCCACTCCATCCCATAATTCCTAATACAATCATCACCAGGCCTAAAATTTTGTGCCACATTGGATCCATTGGTGGAAATTGGTACCTGCATAATACAATTTAAACATTTTGACGAATCTTTTTTATGTCTTTGCAAAAATAAATAGTACAAGAATATGAAAAATGAAAAATAACCAATGCGGATCAACCAAGTGCAGCATTTCTGGAGGTACTTTATCCACAACAGTTTGATTGTTGAAACTCATCTGCCGCATCGCGTGTGGTCCAGTTGTCGTTGTTAATACATTAGCAAATGTTGTGGTAGAGAGTCCAGGTGGAATGATCGAAGTTAGATTTTCAGCACCTACTGTAATAAGGGACTCCATTTTCTGTAAAAGATTATTAAAAATAATTAATAATAATCGAAAATATAATATATAATAAAAGAAACTAATATACATACTTTTTAGCACTAAAAAACCTTTCAAAATACAACCAATCTTGTTGTATCCCCTGAGTTTGAAATGATTAAAAATTTTAATTTGTAAAACATTAATACTTTGATAAGAAGTAGTTTATATGGTACTGTATCACATTGATAGACAGTACAGGTGCGAGAAGAGTAAAATCTTCTTTTATATATCGCTTTTCCTCATATAAAGATTTAATAAAATTATCCAATTATATATGCAAATACACTCAACTATAAGTATTTGAAGACTGAAATAGTGTAATGTAATAGTGTATGTGTGACACATGTATGATTACTGTCAGTTATTATTTAGGATAATCTGACTGAAATGAATTTTGATGGATGCTAAATATGAGTTAGATAATTGAACTAAACTTATATAATACTTCTTATAAATTAAAATGTCTATACTCTTAAACACATTCTCACGTTTATATATATTATATTATAGATTTATTGCATTAAATGTAATTATACAAATCACAGGAAGCCTCATTTTACTGCCCTTGAAATCCTTCGAATATGTAAGCTACGACTTTCTTGTAGCGCTTCTTCCAGCTCTTGAGTTAGATGAAGCAAATTAGTAGGATCAGTTTGTAACAAAACGTGTTCAATTTCGTCGGAATTGTCGGGATTTTTCAGTGATAAATCTAGAGTGATGAGTGGTGCAACTTGTTTCAAGAGAGATCTTGATGCAGTCTGCAAGATATTTAAGTAATTTAACTAAAAACTTAAAAAAAAAATAAAATATAAAAATATAAAAAATTTTGTTACCTGCACTTCAAATCTCCATTCCATGTCATGATATTCAGGCAATTTAAATCCAATCTCTTCTAAGGCATTCAAGATCTCATCTTTTTTAACGCTATATAATTTACTAAGTATTGCTTCCTTCTCTTCCGTGAAACCTAAAGTGATCACAGAATCTCGAAAATCCTCCGCATTTAACTGTAAAAACTTTCAATGTACTACGCAATACTGTGTTTAGGATTCTAATAAAATCTAGTACACAGGTTTTGTACCTTGTGTTTGCAGCTTTCTAACAAGAGATTGACCAAACCCTCCACTGAATTCTTAATTGCGTCCAACTCAACATTTAATTTCTCTGAAATGAGAATATACTTTTACAATTGTGTGTATATATGTATATACATTGTTTTGACAGCTGTGACAAATAAACAACTTACGAGCAGCAGCATTGTATACTTTAACATTTGGACCCTTTTGCAGATAATCCAGAGCTAATTTGCAAAAATCCTGCAATACTGCAAAAGAGACTTTTATCTTAAAAAATGCCTTTGTGGAAACAAATTTCATTCATATAGATAGAATATACTTGTATACCTGGCGGCGATTGTTCAGCAAGAAACAACACGTGCTTCTTGTGCTCTGGCTTTAACGTTAATAGCATTTTTCTCTTACGCGTTTCACTTTAGGTATAAAAAACTTATTATCAAAACTAATATCAATGAAAATTAATATCCATCTGACAGTTCTCGAATTGCTTTCAAGACAGGCGGCACTTTAAGCCGCCATCTTGATAGGTGCATCTGATGTCATTTGGCGGGTTATTTCAACGGGATATTAATATAAGAAATTTTAAAAGAATGCATTGCTTATTCATAGTTATTGATCAATTTTATAAATTATAAATTAATTTTAGACAAAAATTGTTTACATAAATTCTATCAGAACAAAAAAAATATAATCGTTGTTAATATATTTTTATCATAAAATATAATCACAGTCACCTTATTAATCAATACAAAAATGCATGATTTTAAAGAAAGAGTAGTCTGCAGAATTTATATATATATATATATATATATATATATATATATATATATATATATATATATATATATATGAATTCTGCAGACTACTCTTTCTTTAAAATCATGTATTATATATATATATATATATATTTTTATATATATATATATATATAATTTTCAATTTATATGAATTGTGATTAAACGCTTGTGGTATAAAAAAACTTGTTCAACCATTTTTCTGTAGAAGCACAAATTAATAAAATGAGAAAGATGTTACTATACGATATATAGCAACTTTGCTAATACATAACAATATTATTTAAATGCTTATAATTACATATTAATTATATAACTGATAAGATCGCAAATGACATTTGTATGATATTATGATTTTGGTTGGTTTATCGAGGATTTAATTTGAGCTTGCTGGAACGCACGTTGTAATTTGTCTATTATATCTTTTTGCGTGTCAAGTTTCTTGTCTAAGGTAGACATCAATCCATCGACGCGGATCCTGAAAAAATCGTCTTTATTAATAAGTCTGAAGGCAAATAAAAACAAATTTAAATTTTAATCGACAAGACTTACAATTCAGCTTTAATATAATCCATACGCTTGCCAACGTTCTGTTTAGCCTCGTATAGATCTTGTTTCACAAGCACAGGTCCTATTAGCTTGAATACGTCGTTTTCTTCCTTTAAGAGCTCCAACTCTTCCTTTACCATAATATTCTCGTTCAATTGTCCATCCAACTGTCGCCTTTGATTCAACACTTTGTTGTACTCTGCAAATACAAATTGATATGTATAAAAAATAATACGATAAAGGCAAATTAATCTATAGAATTAGAATGTATAAATAATATATAGAATGAAGGAAAAAGAAAGCACAGATATCTCTTTACCTTTATGAATCTGTCTTAATGTGTCAGCTTCGGTCTGAAGTTTCTTTTGCATCTCCTCCATTGTAATTATTTGAAAATTTTAACTATCACGCAAAGTCTTGTAATTTTACAAACGTGCTGGCTACCGTTCAACGATAATTTTGGAAATTTGTATGGAGATTCGTATTACAAACTTAACCCTGCTTAATCTCGCAATAAAACATAACCAAATTAGTACCTGAGCCTTCGATTCTGCGTCTCGCAATTTCAACAATCGATATATAATCGATATATTTCGATAGATTATCGCGGACAGCACGCATATACAAGGTGTCACAAATTAAATTAACTTTAATGATTTTTGAACACCCTATACATCACGCATGCTTCCTAAAGAAATGTATATAAACGTATATATATATATATATATATATATATATATATATATATATATATATATAATACAGAAATATATATAATACAGAAACACAAGGATAGATTAGTTGTACACATACATATTTACATAAAAGTTAACAATAATCAATAGATATAGAACTCGTTTCAAAAACTAAATGTTCATTTTTTATAAAAGAAACAATTTTAAATATCTAATTATTACATATTAATGATATATTACAGTTTAAATGTACGTCGAATAATTGCATTATAATTTTATTTTATAATTTACTGACAATTAAATTTAAGCTTTGACTTTCAAAAAAGCATCGAAAAAAATAAAGTGTCTTAGTATCGCTGTATAATTTAATTGTAAATACATAATGGTACAAAGAGAAATAAAAAGAACTACGGGAATCAATAGTTTAATCATATTGATTGGTAGATGGAAAAAGGTTGATATATGAAATACATGAGAATAGGCAAAAATGAGAATCCCAAGGATTTTTCATTGCGCATTATCGTATATTTCTCGATTACCTTATACTGAATTAAATTTTATAATTATAATTTTATTATCTCATTCTCTCTCGTTCTCTTATATCTCGTATTATATGTGACGTTCCTTTCTTCGTGTTATTCACCTTTAAAACGGCAGATATATCAATATTACCTGCCGGGAATAACTTTCATTCAACGTATATAATTCGCATCATATGTACATCGTGGTACATCGTTTAGTTCAAACGTTTCTCGATTATCGTTCATCATACATCGTGTGTTCCGCTTGTTTCTTCCCTTCTATCTCGTTTTACATTACAAAATCAAAATAAAATTACATTGTCGAGTTGTTAATTTTTTTTCGAACAGCCGTCTTTGTAGTTTTCCGTCAACATCGATACAACACAGTGATAAACCTTAATGATATCGCAAAGTGTTTTTCAGTTAGTACAGAAATCATTTTTTTCTTAAATAATCTGTACGAATCTAAATATTGAATTCGAGATTCACGATTAACTGAAAATATCCTATTAAAATAATTATCAAAACTAAGTTTTGGCAGATCTTAAGCTAACGTTGCTTCCTTTTTTAATAGCAGAGTCTGCTGCTAAAAAAATATCACAATGCTTCAACGCATTCATGGAAAAGTTGTATGCAAAGATAATAAAATTCCATGCTTGTTTTTACTACAACATGACATTAATCGTCTTTTCAAAATCACTGGACAAAGCATATATCAATCATTTTAATATAATAAAATAAATCAAGATTATAAAATAGCAAAAAATGTATAGGATAACGCATAGTATCGCGTACTAAAATCGATTTCTTTTCTATTTTAAGAATTTCTTTTTCCAAATCAGCTGTTTTTCTTTTAATTGAGATTTTCCTCTTGTATACTGTTTCTATATATTTTAGTCTTCTTACATTTATTATATGGCTATATTAAAATAAAAGTGGACAAAAGACAAAATATTTGGATTTTGCACGCACACCTTGTGTGAAAATAAAAATACAGAATAAGGAATAATCTCAAAGTAAAAGTAAGGTTTCAATGATCTTAAAATAGAAAAACTCGATTGTATTAGATAGTGATACAAGTATAACAATGTTTTTTTGTATACAATTGAACTTTTACATATAAAATAAAGTTTTTAATTTAAAATATATTCTTTTATATAAATGACAGATATTATATTAAACAATGGAAATTTAATTATATTTGCATTTTTCCATCTTTCTAATTATTTTTTTACTTTTAAATGTTTTAATAATCATCCTTTTTTTTAAACAGATATATCGTTGTTCTATTTTATATGTTGTAAAATAAATAATACCTCAATAACATGTGTGTAAAAATTCAGAAAGAGGAGATGCAGTTACAAAATATTGTGATCATTCGTTAATTTCTTAATTATTATTCATTTGTTTAATATCTCAGATCCTACATAAACTTTCCTTATAATGATAAAATTAGAAACTTTGAAATATGATAAATTTTGTTATAACTCATAATAGTGATAAATAATATTGTTATAACTCATAATAGTGATAAATAATATTGTTATAACTCATAATAGTGAAAAAAATGTATATTAACGTATAATCTTTACTTACATTGTGGGAGTACGCATAAACTTGTATTATTCTGATATTTTATTCGAATAAATACTCGCACAAATAAATGGAGGTTTAAAATAAATCGTTGAGATATAGAAGTGTTAGGAAAACGTACATTAGCGACTGTCGTTTTTTGTTTCTTTCTTTTGCTGGATTTGATCTTGCCATGTCCGGAAATATTACGACGTCTCGACTCGTTCGCCTCACATAAGACTTATAGGTCTGCAATATAGACGCTCTGTATATCTCGCGATACGGCGCAATTATAAAGGAACTTTCTTTTAGTTTGCACGGAGCTTGATCGCGATTAACTTACTTTCGATTTCTGACCCTGCAGAGATGAGTTTAGTATGCGGTTGTGCGGTCGCACTCGGCTGTGGATTACTTAATTGTCCTGCAGTCGTGGGTGCAGCGAAGCCAGGAGGTGGTTGCATTGCCCAATGTTGAGCAGATGCGTTCTGTTCCTGCGTATATGAAATGCAAGTTTATTTTTTAATATTTGTAACTACCAGCGCACTGTTCAATATTCGTAATTACGATAGATGATAAATTTGAAAGCTAAAAATATAATTAAATAGACAAAAGTCTGTACCTGTTGCGCATTATGAGCTACAGTGTGAGAGGGATGAATGTGAGGAAACTGCCATGTACTGGTAGTTTGGAATGGAAGAGGTCTAGACGAGGTAACTATAGCCGGATCGATCGATGTCCAATCCGCGATAGGTCCGAAATTGTTCCATCCTTTCTGGTGCAAAGCTTGATGGTGAAATTGCTGCTGTTGTTGCTGATTATTAATTTCACACCAATCTTTCAGAGTATAGACCGCATCGCTCGTGCATTTGCCAATATCTATCACAAATCAATTGAGTATTAATACGAGATATATGTAAAATATTCTCGAATATTTGAAAGATAATGATAAAAAATTTACTTTGTGTGTTGAGAAGCGGATTTCCATTGGGAAGATATGCACTCTGTTGGGGTGCTTGCGCACCTGCGAACACAACGAAACACTGAACTCAATAAATCAATGAATAGCGACAATCTTAATCTGTCTTACTCCATCAATCTTAATCTACAGATATAATTCGCACATTTTCGCGAGTCACTTTGTCCAAATAAATTCGTATATAAATTTTCACAAAATTATATCGTGGTAATTCGCGGACAAATCGCGGATACAACTTATCTTCGTTTACGATTACGATTATCGTGTACGTATGTAAACTTCACGCACTGTGCACTATGATTCCTGATGGCTGGAAAAATTGGAGAAACACTAACCAGAGAGGGCGCTATTCGTTGGTGCTGGACGTGGTATACCGAGACCAAACGAGTTCATGTGATTTGGCGTGGAACCAAGGAAACCCGGTGGCGGAAGGCGACTGCGTTGTCCTAAACTGTTGGCCGTCACGGTGCTCTGTGCAGGACTCTGCGTGCCGCTTTGTAACAGAGTTTGTGGAAGACGAGACAGAAGGGAATGCGATTGAAGCACTTGAAGATTTTGCAAGTGCTGAGCTTGTTGCTGCAAATGTGCTATGTGTGCAACCTAAAAAGAGTATTTGTTTCTATAAATTTCACTTTATATTTGTATGTTTATATTATCGTTAGTAAAGTTATATTATTAGTGTACAGAACATTTTACCACACAATGTCTTTAGTCTCTATGTATTATGTACGGAGGCGTTACAAGGCAGTACAATTATTGAAAAACACATAAGAATATATTAAATATATTTACTTGTGGAAAGTGTTGCTGACCAAGACTCGCGAGAGTTTGTTGATGCTGCACCCTAGTTTGCTCCTCTCGTTCTCTCTGCTGTTGTTGCTGTTGGTATATCCTCTGCTGTTGTATCTGCATTTCATTTTCCATAAGTTCGGCTAATGCCTTCTGTGTCTCGTGAAAAGGATCGAAACCTAAATCGTCGTCCGCTTTCACGTCTGACCCCGCATCACGATGATTTCGAACTTCTTCCAGTGTAGCATGGCCGTTTTGTTTTATGTATTCACAATTTTCTTGATTTTGTTGTACCTTAAAGATTATGTATGTAATATTAGTATGTATATGGTAGTTCTAAATTATACTTCTTTTTGGTAAAAAAAAAAAGTATACATAAAAGATATCTCGTGTTATTTTTTAAACATACCATTTGAAAAATTTTATCATTTTATTTACCTGCATATTAAGCCTTTGTTGTAATGAATTTTGTTGAAAGTCTGCCATAAATTTAGACGCGGAATTTACAAGTAAGTTAGGCGTGAAGGTATCAGATGATTCCGTGAGTGTAGTGGTGTACGGTGCGTTTATGTAAACCTCCTCATCAACAAAACCCTCGGAATTAAATGTTACGTTCGGCGATTCGGATGGGCTGGATTTTGGTATAAGGTGATTCGTTCGAGACGATTCTGGTTGAAAGCCGAAAGCCGCTTGCCAATCTTCGCTAGAATGAACTGTAGGTAAAGAGTCGGGTATCGAAGCCACTCCTGTACCCGTCCAATCCAGATTTGCGTTTGCTACACATAGAGTAAAATTCATTGACAATTTCGGCCGCTAGTTGCGGTATTATATAAATATATTGTATAAATGTAGATAATAAGAATGTAGATAATAAGAATGACTGAAATTAATTACTACTACTAAAACTATTCCCCACCGCAAGTTTCAATATTTTTCTTGAAAATAATACATAAGAACTTGTAATAGTACATACCTGCAAGAGAATTAGGTGGCATTGAAGTGGTGGTTGATATTTTTTGGAACGTGTTTGAACTGAAGAAACTGTTATTGTCCGGCTGAAAGATTGACCGATGGTTGAGTTGCATTTGAGATCCATTGTGTAATCCTGGTGGTGGTGGCTGATTGGCACCTTGTGATGAATTTGTGCTAGCTGGAGATGAACCTACAGATGATGCGCAAAAATCTCTACACTACACGACGCGTAATGAAAATCATTTCTATACTCTTATACAATGCCAGAATAAACAGCTATTCAAACAATTTCCTTTAACAAAAAATATGCAATAAGCGCACATAAACACATATCACGAATTACACATTTCTTATAATAATAAAAATATCGAAATAAAAATACATCATTATAAGACAAAAAACAGTGTATTCAAATAATTTGGAAAAATATAAATATGTTAATCAGTGAGCAATTATATATATATATAATTATATTATATATAATTATATTATATATAATTATATTATATATAATTATATCGTATTAATACACATCAAACAATTAATGTCTATATCAACATTTATTTCACTATAACTTGTAAGGAATACAATTAAGTATGCACACAAAAACACAAAAAAAAAAACGGCTATCACTGTTTTTCAAGAATTCTCTTTATTTTGGCATAGATCAATAACCGTTTGATATTATTCTACAGTATTCAAATATAATTAGTAAAACACTTTGGCATACATCATTTAAAACTGTCATTGATTGTTCCATCCAAACAATATGATATATATTTAACGTAAAGAATAAGTAGACATGTTTTTACTAACAATAAGTTGTAATTCCTCATAACTCAATGGAAATTATTATTGACATTGTATTAACAAAAGATGATTAAGTTTAATCATTGGATACATTTATATGTTATTAACATAAAATTGCCTTTGATTTTTAAAATGATAATTTGAAAAGCATAAAGAGAAAGAGAGAGAAATACAGAAATACATTTTATTGTCAAGAAAGATATAGAATTCTTTCCTAGTAAAGTAATATCACATCATAGCTATTTTTTCCAAATGCTTTTCACTCGGAATAAATTTTGATAAAAGAATACAATAATTTTTTTTAATATGTATATGCTTTGTTAACATTATATGAACTGTTAAAATTATTCATGTCTAAACATAAATTAATCACACGCGACAAAGATAATTCTGTCATATTTTAATATACATATACATATATATATATATTAAAATATTTCATAATCCAAAAATATTGTCTATTGAAAAGCGTATAATAATGTAACATTCCTTGCAATCACAAATTATATTAATGAAATTTCAGCCGTTCTTCTTTTCCTTCTATAGCATCTAATTAAAACCATTTTTAACGTTTTGTACAATTATTGTTTGTCCGTGAAAATAATACATATAGAAATAATCACCATAATCATCAACGTAAGGAACTCACCCAAAATAGCAGCAGTACTGTTTTCCTCGCTCGATTCGGCCAAATGTTCGGTTTGATGATTTACATTTGAGTCTTCCGTGCTCGAGATGGTACTCGCTGGCGTGCTACCTTCGCGTTGTTGATCTGTTTCACTATCCGAATGCCGACGTTCCCCATTTTGTAACGTACCATTTACTTTAATCTCGTGAGACTGCGATTGAACTAATTTTGATGTTTTGCTAATTTGTTGCGACTGTGGCTGTTGCTGCTGTTGTTGCTGTTCCATTTTACACTTGTTACCTAATTTTTGTAATATTTCATTGTTCGTATCAGCGGAAAAGTTTCTAACATCCTTCTGCCCAGTGATTTGTGACTGTGAACTACTCTGTGTGTTGATCGAATTCGATTCGGACCGCGACGTCGTACGGCTACCATGTTTCTCCTTGTTTTGACTATTTTTATGTTTGTTTCGAGCTGCCTGCGCCTTGCTTTCGCTGTTACTTTTACCCCGTCGTAAACCCACGCCATTTTCACCCTTATTATTATTATTCTGTTGATGCATAGCCACCCCGGAGGATATATGACTCTGTTGAACTACCGTTCCATTTCCACTTGTTATATTATTATGTTGCGAAGTTGTTTGCACAGGTGGTGATACTTCTTTACAATTAGTTTGTGTGCCTAAAAACAGAATATTAATACATATATTATTTAAAATCCTTACGAAATTTTTCATTCATGAACTGATTATTTTAGCCTTTTTTACTTTTTTAAACTTTATTTTTCTTGTTTATACTTCAAGAATGCATTTGCAATTTTTGTAATTATTTGAACTCACCATTTGTTTGTCCCGGCTGCAACGAAGGCCACGCCTCTTTAGTTTGTGATGAGTTTACAGTTCCGCTTTCCCTAACAATACTGCCTGTTACAGGTGGTGATGGTGTCGGCTTCCTGAGTATACAAAGATTTATCATAAATTAAGGAAAATGAAATTAGGAAAATTACTCATGTATGTAAAATAATTTCAAGAAATCATTTTGTTATGTCAAAATAAACTTTGTACCTTTGCACTGAAGATACATGTGCATGTAACGATTGCACCAGCTTGCGTTCATACTCTTGATGTTTCCCTTGATGCATCTCCTCTTTCGTAAACGATGCCTCCTGGTCCCCAAGATCGTGCAGGTACATGCAATCTGGCTTCGGACAGGCTTGGTTACGCATAAAATGCGAACAGTACTTTGTCGTTCCCAATGATGTTTTTATTGTCCGACCATCCACAACAATGTTATTCACAGCCTCTATAGCACGTAGCGCATCCTCTTGACGCTGAATAATGTACAAAAAATTATCGCTTCGTCCACAAATACTCGTAAAAGCATAGATAAAAGTTAGAATTTAAACACCACTTAAAAAAAATGTTAAATAACTTACTTGATAAGTAACATAAGCCGAAGCACTGGGGCCTTGAGACCCTGCGTAGGAAGTACTCTGGTTAATTACGACTTTGTGTATCTTCCCAAATTTTCCAAAATATTCGTGTTTCTTTAAAACCTAAGGTATGCATAGTGTTATAGATCATAATCTTTTTATTTTTTTTAAAGACGATGTTGGCAGAGGTCTATATTTTATCAATATTAGTTGTAGAGATAACTTATCAAAAATATACTCACGTCTGCATCTGCCAGTCGCAATGGTAATCCTACTACAAACACTAAATTTTTTTGTACTACTCTCACATTTGCTAGATGTTTCCGATTTTCTGTAACTTTCTGCTTCCGTTGTTGATCCTTTAATCTCTTTTCAGCTTTCAATCTAAAACACAGAGCAGGAGAGACGGTTTATGAAATAAGATTGTTATGTTTTTGAATGAAAATACAATATGTATGATAATATTAATATAAATAATTAAAGTATTTTTAAATACCTTGCTATTTCTTCCTTAGTAAGGGGTTTAAAATCAGCCGGATTTTCAGAATAGGCCTTTCGACACGCGGGACACAAACCATTCTCGTCGGTACGAATTCTGTGCCAACAAAAACGGCATATTTGATACCCACAGGTGCAAGGGAAGAAATTCAGATCGTCCACTTCTAATGGTTCCATACACAGAGGACATTCCACTGCATCCTCACCACTCTGATTCAATACTGACATCTTTGTTGCCAATCTCGTAAATGTCACCAGACAGCAGACACAAATCACAAATATTTATCTAAGTGCCAAAGTCTGTAAACAGAAGATAGCACCTCGTAAGGTCGGAAAGAGAGATCACAAATAAAAATATATTGACATTATTTAATTATGTTAATCGATTTGAAAGCTAACAACTTTTTCTCGAATATATCTGTCAAATACAATTGCAAACATTTCTTTATATTATGCAATTAGATCTTACTTACATGCAAAGTCGTCACTTCCCTGGTTTTTTAAGTATAATTGACAGTGCTCGCGACTTCCTTTTCACACACTGGTATCTCTTCACGATCTGAAACAGAGTGTCGCACCCACAAATTGTCACAAACTATCGAAACTGTACTTAAATCGTCGATCGAGGAGACAATCGCGGTGGAGGACGCGCGTCTTTATCCCATCATCGCGAAATATTCCGCTACTGACGTTTCGATTCGACTCGCATGTCGACGCGTCGCGCGACAACCTAAACACTTCAACGCGAACTGTTGCTCGTGGGGGACGAGACGTAGCGTAAACACGGACACGAGTACGGTACTTTTTCTCGCGACGCAAAAGACGCAGGAGATGTACGAGTCGCTTTAAACCGAAGTCTCTCCTCCGTCTTTCGAGCTTACTCCGTAAATCACACTTTTTGCATTTCGACTCAAAACAGGTATATCTGGCTCGACCTAGAGGAAGAAAGATGGAGCAGTGAAGTGTAAGAGGAAGCACAATAACACGAAACGGCGATAAGAGGGCGATGACAGGTCGCGCTCCGTTTTGACAGGAGCTGTCAGATCGGAGGGAGCGAAGGAGAGAATGGGAGAGAGCGCGAGAAAAATAGAGACGGAAAGAGGGAATGAAACGAGAGAGAGGTGAAGCGAACAAAGGAGACGTACCGGAATTCTCGCGCAATTACACACGCCCTACGCACGACGCGAACGATGACTCGTCCTCGCCCGAGAATCCGTTCCTCCGCGAAGACGTTGAGGTCGCCGACTACGGTCGGGGGAAAAAAAAAAATATTTCCGCGAAACACACACACACACACGGTATTACAGGGATAGGGTCACACCGTCTCCTCCCTCTACTCCCTTTCTCTATCTCTCTCTCGTACATACGCGACAGAAACGCGAACCGAGAGGGCGACGATCGGGCGAAACAGCTGTTGGTGGCGTCCGCGAGAGACCCAGCGAGAAACGTCAAACGGGTGCGAGTGAGACGGTTTGCTGGCTACGCCATAACAGAGAGACCTACGCGAAAATCCGTCGCGGATGACCAGAGTGGTGGGGCATGACACGTAAATTCCGCCTCTCTCGCTTGTCTTTGCTTTCTCGACCGCGAGCGTATACGCGAGTACGCAAGGACGACGGTCTCTCACGAATCTCGGGAGAGGGAGAGAGAGAGAGACAGACAGGGAGGGAGTAGGTGGTAGAGGGAGATAGAGAACGGTGTCGACGCGGCGAGAGTGACAGAGATAGATCGCGTCCTCTTTCTCTCTCCGTAAGACAGAGAGAGAGAGATGAGATTCTTCGTCTCAATCTTTGTTGCCCATCTCTCTCTCTCTCTAGCATCTATCTCTCCGAGGGATGAGCGTGCGAACTCGATATATACGCGACGACGCGGCGCGATTCAGCCTCCCATTTATATAAACGTAATAAGTACACTTCTAAGCGCGATCGTGGAAGATGACGACGACAGGGACGAAAACGGCTGTTCGCTGCTGCGAACGTCACTCGAGATTCTACGAACCGTCCGCCAGAGGGGTTGCTTCCAAGCCCGAAACTCGGGGGCACGTTACCCTGGCCCGTTTAACCTTAATCCTTAATCGCGAAACGGCACCCAGCGAAACGCGCCTCTCTCTCTCTCTCTCTGTCTTTCTTTCTATCTCACGTTTCTCCACGAGCCTCTCCGAGCGAAACGATACGATTCTCGTCAACGATGAGCGAATTTTCGCGGAGCTCGCGTGCCTTCCAAACGGCTCTCGAATATATATATATATATATTACGTATATTCTCTGCACGATCCATTATTTACTTACTCGCCTCTCGCACGACTTTTCCACTAACAATTCTCTTTCTTTACTGGGAAATTTTTCTACAGTACATTCTACTGTCCCGGGATTTGTGGTTGGGTGCGCGTTCGCGAGCGCGCATCGGCGGATGTATGCACTACGCTTTCTCCCTAGGCGTCCCGAAAGCGGAATTTGTCATTCGAACCACCCTGAAACAAATCACCAGAATTAGGAGCCGCGACAATTGGCTAATCGTTTTATTATCGGATATTCTATCGTATATAATTAAAAATTTTATTGTTACGGGGAGAAATTTATATATATATATACCTGTCTATTATTTCTTACCTTGAGTTTGTTCGTATTTACTTGATCGTGTGCGGAAATGCGTCATACGAGCCTGTGCGGTCGATCAGTGTTCATAACCTTTCTTTTGAATGATATGTAGATACCCTGAAAATTTACATTGTTAATTTAGTCTTTTATACTGACCTAATTTATATAAGTGGGAGAAATAAGTTAATTATAATGTAGAACAATCTAGAGAGCGAGTTATTAAAATTTATCAATTATTCATTGGATATAATGAATATTACACATGTTCGTTTAATGTAATAGAGCATTTTGGAAAGATATTTAACAATGATACAATTTAAAAAGAAAATTAGAATTTAACATTATCTTATTCAAATTAATCAGTATATATATAAATACAAATCGCTTATATATAGAATATTTTATACATTTTTATTCGAATGCATTGAATGTTTTTATCGTATGATTAGCATTTGTATGAATATATGTTCGTAAAAATACATATTTGTACATATATTGCTGTCGTCATAGTGAAAAAACGATTCTTGCAGGTTTCTTTTTACAAGAATTCTTGTATCAAAGATACCTTGTTGCTTTTACTAGTTATATATCAAATTTGCTCCAATCAATTATGTACCTAGTTTGTTTTAGGAAAACTATGTTTCCTCGATCTCCTCTTACGTTCGCGAATTACACCAAACAATGGATGTCTTGTTTTTAAATCGTAAGGAAACTCCACACCAGAGTTTTCTACAGCCACCGGTTTTACTCCCGGTGCTCCAGATAATTTCCTCCTTACAGTTAATGAACCCGCTGGCTTGATATTTACTATATAGGGAATATTAAAAAATTAATACATAAATGAAGTATAAAGAGAAAGCATGCAATTTCTCTTTTCCTTTGATTTCCTATTGAATCAAATAAATTACCAGTTTTATACACATGCGCAGTCTTCTTGGTATTAAAGACACATGTAACATTGTAGTTCCTATTTTGCGTAATTATACAATATCGTTCATCTTTAATTTTAAATTTTGATTTATCTTCTAAGGCTATCGTTTGACCACGAAGTTCTTGTGGATCTATCTATGTAAAAATAAGATTACATCCTAGATATCTTAAACAATCGTACAATATATTGTTTTACTACTATTAACTTACTGATCTAGGAAGATCCATGATCCAAATGTCTTCACTGTCCGATATATCTTCCAAACTATACGTACAGGATATATTTTCCTCTTCTAAATTTTCTTTCTTAACTATTTCTTGAAGCTAAAAATAAACAGAAAAAAGATAGAATTTCCAAATATAATTCCATATATAAATATTCGTCAATGTGTTTCAATAAAAAATTAATGATTGTCTTACAGTACGTGGTCTTGAATTCGAGGAAGATGACGATAATCTTGGAGCAGGTACATTGCTTGACTCTTTAATGCTACTGTTTATCTCAGCTTCATTGTTCATTGAATCCTTATTCAACGATTTGTCAGATTTCTTCAAGATACTCTTACGTGATTTAACTACAGGACTCTTTGACGTGCTGGGTGGTTGCGTTTTCGTGTTTATCGTAATAGATTTACGTTTATTATTTTTGGGCGTAGTATCTACAGCATCTTCCATTAGTACCATCGACTTATTCAGTTGCGTGTTTAATTTCGTTACCGAGTCTTCACTAATAGAATCCGTCATGTTTGTTAAAAAAATAAGCTTAAAACAATATGTATAAATAAATTACATAAATATGTATTAAATATTCCTTCCGGGAGCACGTCTGGCTGCGAATGGCGCGAAACGACTTTTTACAGGTTATAGCTAACTTCACGCTTGCGAAAGTGACGTGGAAATAGTTTTGATCGAGGTGCCATGCGACGTTTTGATTGGCTGTTCGTCAGGAACTTTTGAAACCCTAGAAATTCCCTATTCGATAGCCAATCAGTGCGTTCGACAAAGTTTCAAGTCATATGAATTTGTTGTATCAAGTTTCCGAAAGTTTCAGCAACAGAGAGTGATGGAGAAATCCCGCTTTTTCGTGTTGTATATTTATTTCTCCGATAATTAAACGTAACGTAAACAATTTCAGTTGTGTTTGTGAAAATTCCGTGCACCTGTCAAATATGACGTCTCCCAGAAATCTAAGAAGGTCCACACGAATAAAAGCTATTGTGAATTACAATGAGAACAGCTTCGAAGAAAAACGCGAGAAATCTCGTAAGATTATTGATATGAATTGTTTATACAAGAATATTAATATACAAATTATATTTCTTCTAATATTTCTTTATAGTATTTTAGAAATAAATATATTTCTATAATTAACATTCTTCAATATATTTATATACCATATTTTTTAAACTAATTCTATCATGAACAAGATTTATGTGTTATAATTTACATTGTGTATTTATATCTTACAGCACCGATTAATGCATTGGAAACTGAAATAGAAAAACAGCTTGAAGATATCAAAGAAGATGTACAAAAGCCACTTGGTAATTGATAAAAGTTTATATAAAGTTTTGTTATACTTTACAATTATTATTATTTATTTATTATTTGCTTTTATTTAAGATTATATATCTTTTAATGGGTCTATTTCTCCTTTTTAGAACTGTTTTCAGACGAAGATGTTAGTGGACGAAAAATGTATACATTTCAAACACCAACAAAAAGGAATAGCATGATGCTTAAAGCTAATCAATGTCGTACACCTGAGACTCCAAAAAGTCTCAAAACACTTCCAACTTTAAGAATTGTTCTTAATAAGATTATAACAAATCCAAATAATAATAATCTGACTCCGAAATCTAATCTTAAGAATCTTAAGATAAAAAGTATAACATTTTTATTGAATATATTCTAGTATACATTATATAAAAAGATATATATTTTTTAATATCTTTTTGATTTTTTTCTTTTATTTAGTAATATCTCGAAAACGATGCTTGCCTAGTGTAAATTCAAGTGGTGATGAAAGTATATCAGAAGAGAGTGAATATATACCTACAGATAAAGAGAATAGTTCCGAATCAGATGAGACATCTGATAGAAGCGAGGATGATGAAAATTCTGATGAGAGTGCAGAAATCTACAATTTTAGAAGGAAAGACAAACAAAATGGGCTACAAAAATCTTTACCAAAACGTGAAGTACCAAATACACCTAGAACAAGAGGAGGACGTAAATCTATTGCTTACAAGGATTATGTAAGTTAAAATTAGTTAAATTATGTACAATAATTACATGGTTTTATACATATATATATATAAAATTAAGTAGTATTTAATGCAATAAGCACAAAAGTTACATAATAAATAAACATTTAAATTATATGTTTTCACAATGATTGTTTTCAACTTAGAAAGTAAAAATACTTTCTTTCATTATACAAAATGTTTATATGTCAAACATATAAATAAATTTAAATTTGTATCTTGACTTAAAGCTTATCAAAATGAATAGAAAGAATTGAATAGTAAAATATATGATTTCACAAAGCAATCATCTTTGAGTTACAAATTTTTTTTTGTAATATCTTTTTTATTAGCAATGCAGTTTATATAATTATTAAAAATTAGTATTTTTGCATGTGAGTAAGAAATTCTTGTATTATAAAAATTGTTTATCTACAAATATAAACTTTTACCTTATTTTTAATTTTTGAAACTTTTAGCTTTTTAATGAGTACTTTGCACATGTACAAAGTTTATATGAGTTTTTATGTGCATCTACATTGTACTTATTGTATATTGTACATAAATAATGTTGATATAATATATAATTATTTTATAATATACATGTATATATATTTTTTAATTTTAAAGCATATAAAGACTGATGAATACTTCGAATCTCAATCCGGAAAGATAATTACATCGGATCATACATTAGGCAGACTTCGAAATCCTCGTCTTACTGAAGAAACATTAGATGAATTATTAATAAATCAAAGTCATATTTCTACAATACACAAAAAACGTATTGGTTCATTAACAGAAAATTATAAATTATTCTTTTCTATGTGGCAATTCATAATGGAGTAAGTATTAAGCAGTATGATTTTTTAAATATAAAATTTGATAAGTTTTAAAATTTTTATTAAATTGTAGAGAAGGTTACAGTCTATTAATCCATGGTCTGGGGTCAAAAAGGAATTTAATTAATGATTTTCACAAAGAGATCATAGCCGATCATCCAACATTGGTTATAAATGGATTTTTTCCCAGTTTATCGATAAAGGATGTAAGTGAATTATGCTTAAATAATATCTACACTATTAATTAACTAATTATCTATATCTAAATTCTCTTTTAGATTCTCGATAACATAATAGTGGATTTACTGGGTTTAGATTGTCCAACAAATTTTAATGACTGTCTAGAACTCATTGAAAAGATCTTAACAGATAATCCAGATGATCGACTCTATTTAATAATTCATAATATAGATGGAATAATGCTACGGTCAAGTAAAGCTCAAAATGTTCTTGCTGGTCTAGCAGCTATTCCCAATATTCGAATCATAGCGTCTATTGATCATATCAATGCACCACTGCGTAAGTACATTCATTACATTTATTTTTATGTTAAATTCAAATTGATGTGATATTAATTAATATTCATAAATTTATCATTTCAGTTTGGGATCATATAAAACGAGCAAAATTTAATTTCTATTGGTGGGATGCAACAACGTTTTTGCCATATCAAGCTGAAACTGCGTATGAAAGTTCCTTGTTGGTTCAACAGAGTGGTGGACTCGCTTTATCTTCTCTTCAAAATGTTTTCCTCTCCCTCACTTCGAACGCTCGAACGATTTATTTAATTCTTGTCAAATATCAATTGGACAATAGCAGCAGTAATTTCACAGGTAATCATCAGTTGTATATATATTCTATTATATTATAATAACTAGCCTGACAAATATCTAATACTGTATACTAATTAGGAATGCCGTTCAAGGATCTATATCGTGCAGCGCGCGAACAATTTTTGGTCAGTTCCGATTTAGCATTAAGAGCACAGTTAACTGAATTTATAGATCACAAATTAGTACGAACTAAACGTACATATGATGGTGCCGAACATTTAACTATACCTCTAGATAAGGGTCTCCTTAAACAATTCATGGAGCAACATGGATCATAATTTTATGAATTTATACAGTATATTGGCTTGTGAAAGATTCATAAAATATATTTTAGGAAATATATTTTGCAGTTTTGAGTGAAATAACTGATAAAAAAGTAATTTAACTATTATTTATCAAATTAATTTCTTATACATCACTAATTGGTTTTATTAAGATAGATTTATCTTTAACTTATCATAATTATCAATATTAATTTATATATATTAGTTCGACATATTCTCGTTTTACATTATCTTGATTACACGATTGCAAACAGAAATATCCTGCCATTTTTAATATTGCAATAGTTATATCGAATGTTATCAAATTTATTCTCTTCGCCGTTTATTTATTATATTCTTTCTATTTCCATTTTTTTCCTCTTCGAAATATGCGCCAATTTTATTTTAAGTGCAAAAGATGTGCACTTAAGTGCAGGTAGAAAGAACAGCTGACCGAGAACGCGGCGCTCGCGTCGCAAAGTATCGTGAAGTTGACGCGAGTCAAAAACGAAGGCGCCAACTGTGTCTCTCTCGCGATCTTTTATTTTCACGTAAAAAGACGGTCGAAGAGCGCGAATATAATGAAAATGTGTTCGAACGATCGCGCGCGATGTGATCAGTGAGACGCGTAACGCGAACGTCGCCCTTCGAGATGACAGATTCGTCGGGAAGTGTCAAAATGAAACTGAAAGCGAGCGGCGGTGTTAGGTTAGGTTGTCCGTTTCTCAGCCACGCGATATGAAGTTGCCAGCGGCGCGAAGTTGTTTCAATCTCTCACTCGATTCGCAACTTCGATAATCGCAATCAGTTCGAAATAGCCGCGATAGGCGCCAAAGGTCGGCTCGTCGTCGTCGTCGTCATCGCGCGATCCAATTTTGTTCGTCCCGTTCTCGGTGAAGGTGAAAGGAAATTTTCGGTCCGTTCGGGTGCGCGCACGCGGCGACGTAAAAATTCGCGAGTGATATCCGCGAGTGTGATCATCGCGAGGTGGAGATCCGGGGTGGACTGTTGCGCTGCTGGCCGGGGCCACGTCAATCGACAACGTTGTAAATAACGCCGCCGTCCCTCGTCCGACCATTCTGACCTTACACTAAGTCGCACGTGCGCGAACGCGCGCGCCGCAACCTTGACTTTCGGATTGAGTTGTGCGGAAAGAGTGAGCGAAACGCCGAATCAGTCAGTCGAGTGGTGAAAATAAGCGCGGCGTGTACGTTTTTTCCCCCCTTCCTTCCTCCCTCGTGAAAATTGCGATGGCACTCGCAAAATATTCGCGAGACGCTCCAAGTTCCACGTAAGGACGGCGTTTCTCTCGTAAACATCTCTCGTCGTCCGAGGCTGCCGAATCATCGATATTTTGGCGTTCGATTATGTGGAATCTTCGAGATTTATGAACAAAGAAGGTAGAGCGATCTCTTTTTTTTAGATGATTGAATTTTTTTCTTAAATAATCTCGTGACATAAAGAAATTGAGTTTTTAGAGAGATTGATTTTTAATGAAGGAAGTTATTGTGACATATAGTGGAGATCTCAGTGGTTATGTCAGTTCTTTTTATCTTTCTTTGTCATTTTTTTTTGTATATTTATATTTAATTTGAATATAATTTTGGATTTAAAAATATATATGTATATGTTTATACAGTTATAGTTAAAACATAATATTGGTTTTTTACAGATTGTGAGAAAAGGAGGAGCTGCATTAAATTTGTTGTCATCTAAATGTGAGTAATTGAAATTATGATGCTTCTTTGAAAGAAAAGAAACATAAATAAATTAATTGCTATGAAACAAATTATTTAATTGCTGGTAGCGTACTTCTAAAATGCTGTTTGTTCTTGTTTGCTGTGTCAAATCAAAATGTATTATACCTTCTTATCTTTATTTGTGCATATTTACCTCAGGATTTGTTTTATATATAATATTTATTATTGTTACACACTCTGTATCTGAAGAAATATTGTGCACAGCTATGTGTAATTAATAGCACGTAGTATATTTTTGATTAATCTTTTCAAGAGTGCAATATTTCATATTTTGCTATTTATTCAATAATTTTTTTAAAAACAAGATAGTTTCAAAATTGTTTTATATATGTTTGATTGACAATTTGAAATAATATGTATTATTGAAATTTCATATATTATGAAAAGAACACGAAATAGTATTATAGACGTGTTCAAACATTGCAAAATTTATTTATGTTTGACAATGATGCAATTTTGTTGCTATTATTATCATTATTTTGTTATTGCAAAATCATTATTTTGTGATTGATAGAAAAAAAACATTGAGTATTTGTGTGCTTTTATATGAAAGCAATTAGTAAAATTATTTTTTTCTATAGCTAAAAATGAATTTTTTTAGAGAATAATTTTCTATTTGATAATACGATATTGTTATAATATTCTATAATATTAATCCGGTATTTTATCTACCTGCAAGTTTACACATTGTCGGGAAATTTATTTCCAACGCATGCCAATAGATGGCAGAACATTGAATATTTTAGCACGCGTAGTCCAACAATACCCACATTATAATTGCAAAGTGAATCATAAGAATAGAATGGCATCTGCTAAATATCGCGAAAAGCATCTGCCAAATATCACGAAAATTTTCTTAAACAATATTATGCTATAGAAAAAGAATTATTTTACATTTATATTTTATTGCAAATATTTTAGGGAATGCCTTGATTTTTTCCTTACAATGTTTTTTCACCTACAATTGTTTATAAATATTGAAAAAACAATTTGTTTTTATGAAATAATATCATTTCAATTTTAAGTAATGACGCGTCTGTGATGTAAAACCTCCTGAAAAGGAGAATAGCCGGTTTTCACTTTGCACATTACTCTCATGATAATAGCTCGAGAGAGCGATTTCGTCGATTTTTAACCAGACGTAGAATTATATCTTGTTGTCGTCGAGTGAAAGTTGTCAAATTGTCCTGAATGTGTCTGGCGTACAAATCGTTGGCGTGGGTGATACCAAATTTATAACCGTTTCGATTTAGTACGAGATTTCTCTCAGATTTTATTAAAATTTCTCTATGACGCGGAAGTAATTTTCTCGTATATACCTCGTTCAATAGATTCAAATCGGGGTGGGCGTTGAAAAATTCTCTCTTTCACTTTGAATCATTCATTTAATATCTTGTTTCTAAAATAGATACCGTTGATCATGAGAAAAAGTTTGTTGAGATTTTATAAGTATATTGAAAATAATAATTAAAAAATTCACTATGATTAAAAGTATTCAGTATATGCAAAAATAAAAAAAATGTTTACACTTATGCGATTTATATAGAAATTTATAATTCAATTATTTTATATATACTTATTATCACATTTATTATAATTTAAAAATTTTTTAATTTTTATAAGTGTTGTAAAAAAAATTTATGATTATTAAAAATATGCAGGACATGCAAAAGTAAAGGTTTTTTTACACTTATGTGATATTTATAGAAATTATTTTATAATTCGATTATATTTATTACATTTATTATGATTTAAAAAAAAAAGAATATTCGAAAATTTTTTCCTATGATCAATAGCGTCCAATTTGTATTATTAATAATTTCGAACTCACGAAAGTTCGAAAACCATTTACTTTCATGTATTGATCGCGATGTATCTTTCTCTATCTAATTCCGTTAACGTCGCGCAACTGTTTCACCGATTTCACTTTTGCCAAGACAAACTAATTTCTCCGAGCTACGATTCTCCCTGAGAAAACCATCCGCTCGATACCTTTCTTCGAGGAGATTTAATACACGAACGAACGAGGGAGAGATTTGCTTTCGCCTCGAAACGACTCCGAATTCGACATCGCTCGTTCACGTCTGGTTATGAAACGTCCTGTACGAGACGATACTTTCACTATCGCGGCCAAGTTTCATAATTATTATTATCGAGGCCATACGTAGGTCGAAGAGGAGACTGTCGGGACACAGAGAAAAGGGTTTGGCTCGTCTTTTACAACCGTCGCTTCACACAATGTCGCTTAATTAGTAGTGAATTCTAATTCTTATTTTATTCAACGTGTCACGGGCTAAATAAAACATTCTTCGTCGGATTAACTGTGTTTCGTAATGAAAATTTGACGCAAGATTTAATTGTGAAATTTGTACAATTTATTCTCGAGAAGCAATTTTTACGTATTAGATTGCACGGTTGACAACTAAACGGTAAAAAATACCTTCGAATAAATGTTTTTTGATCGAAATTTTGGAATTTGGAATCTTTAATCGCCAAGAAATAGTTAATACACGGAGAGAATTTTCTCTTAGAATTTAGCCTGAACATCATGGTAATTGTTGGGCAATATGATATTGAAAGAATTTTATAAGAGTTTCTTTGATTAGGAATGTGCATAATTAAAAAGTTTGTGTTAAATTTAACAGATATCACATGTTCCAAACGGTTTTTCAGAACGGTTTCACAGAAATTTTTGTGTTCATTTAATATGAATATGTTAATTGAAGTCACACGAATAAATATTTCAATTCAAAATAATACAAAATAAATGTAAAACTTGAAGTAATTTAAAATAAATTTTGTGTAAAATTAACATAGCTTTAATGTAAAAATTAACAAAAAATATGTTAATTTCCGATTTTATTATCTCCACTTATATTTTAAAAAATCAACATTTTTTGTAAATTTTAACAGATAAATCTTGTCACTAATAAAATAAACACATTTATTATGTGCAGTTAAAAATAGATGCACCTTGTATTTTTTTTACACTTTTTCAGTTGTTTCAATAATTTAACATTGAAGTCCAATTAACACAACAGCAATATGTTAAATTAACATATGAATGTATTAAATATTTACACAAAAATTTTACTGGGGATTGTCTGTCAAGAAAACAAATTTTCCAACTGTATGGTAAATATTAATCAGAGAAACTTATAAAATTCTAATATACCATATTGTCCCACGATGATTACCATGATTTTCAGAATAAATTTTGATCGAAAATTCTCTCTAGTTGTGTATCGACAATATTTCATAAATATTTCGATCCATACAATAATACAATTCCATCAAATGTTAATTGACTCCGAGCTCG